TTACTTAAAAAAAAAAAAATTGCATTCCTCCAGTTATGAATAAGATTGAGCATCTTGACTTATATTTCAGGACCATTTTTGTTTCCTTTTCTGGGAGTTTTCTATATTCTTTATTCTCTTTTATATTGAAATTTTTTTTATTGTTGATCAGTCTGTGATGAGTTGCAAATGCCTCTTCCCCAGTTTGTCTTTGACATTGAAAAGATTGATTTTTATGTGGTCATATTTGTTGATTTTTTTTCCTTTCTGGCTTCTAGGATGTGTCATACTTAGATCTTCCTTATCCTCTGAAGAATGCCTTACCACAGTTTATTCTGATATTTTATGGTTTCATTTTTACATGTGAATGTTTGATTCACTTTGGATTTATTCCAGTGACAGGTATAGATTGGCTCAGGTCATTTTCCAGATGCCTCTCCATTTGTCACAACACCGTTAGTGGATTTGAGAGTCTCACTTTATTAAATTCCTATATAGATTTAGGACTATTTCTGAACTTCTTTTCTCTTGATCCATTTATTTATGCACCAGGATCACACCATTTGAATACCTAGTTTAGCTAATGCCCCTAGACTGGCATAGGAGTTTCTTAACCTGAAGTCTGTGTATGGGGTTTCTGGGGGATAGAAAAGGCATATGAATCCAATGAAACTTTATTTATATTTTGGAAAAACATATCATATATGCATATATATATAATCTTTTCTGGGGAGAAATCCATTGATTTCATTAAATTCTCAAGTAGATACATGATTCAAAAAATGTTAAACCACAGATCTAGAGAAATGTTTGCTGTATGTCCTTAAGGCAGTCCTTCATGATGTTAATCAAAGTTCTTTATGAATTAGATATAAGTAATTGCTTGGGCACACACAATGAGATCTGGAAGATGCATGAGGAATTGGTAACTTGATTGTCAGAAGATGGGAACTAGTGGTTAACAGAGGTGGAAGTGAAACTTCATTATAACACTCTTTTAGATCTTGAATTATGAACTATATGATTGTACTTTTTTTTTTAAGATGTTATTTATTTATTTGACAGAGAGAGATCACAAGTAGGCAGAGAGGCAGACAGAGAGTGGGGGTGAAGCAGGCTCCCTGCTAAGCAGAGAACCCGATGCAGGGCTCGATCCCAGGACCCTGAGATTATGACCTGAGTTGAAGGCAGAGGCTTAACCCACTGAGCTACCCAGATGCCCCTATAGTATATTTTTAAAAAAGGTAAATAACATTTAAAAAATTAAGGTGACCAACTGGATGGCTCTTCCATATTATTCCAAGAAGAAGCTCTGTGGAAAAGGAACAGTTCTTCGTTGGTTATTTACTACTAGCTTTTTTGTATTACCAGACATAATGCTAGACTTTTTAAAAAAAATCGTGGTTGACATACAATTTTATATTAGTTTCAGGTGAATTACTGCAAAGTGAATTGGACAGTTCAGTGCTCATCATAAGTGTAGCCGCCATACATTATCACAATATTATCAACTATATTCCCTGTGGTATACTTTTCATCTCCATGACTTATTCATTTTATAACTTGAAATTCGTACCTCTTCATCCCCTTCATCTATTTCAGCCATCCCCCAACCCCTCTCCCTTCTGGCAACCACATTGTTCTTTGTATGTATATGAGTCTGGTTTTTGTTCATTTGTTTTGTTTTTTAGGTTCCACATATAAGTGAAATCATAGGCCTTTGTCTCTTACTTCACTTAACATCCTCTAGGTCAATCCATATTATGGCAAATGGCAAGATTTCATTCTTCTTTATGGCTAAGTAATACTCCACTGTAAAATGAACTTTTGAGAAAAATGAACTTGTAAGGTGGTTGTGTAGATTACATGAGATAATATATGTAAAGCATCTAGTATAAACGTTAGTTTCTTCTTACAACTTAAGTTTTTCTCTTTACAGGGAGTCTGAAGATACGGTATTGCTGGTCCTCAAAGAAATCTACCAAACCCAGGGCATCTTCCTTGATCAGCCTTTACAGTAAAAATGAACCATATATGGCTGCTTGATGTAAGTTTTTAAATGTCATGTATGCAGCATAGTTCCTACATATTGACATGTTATGAGGAACCGTGTAGCCTTGAGCTCTTTATAAACGTACTTTTCTGTTGCCTGTCACCAAGATCTAGGTTATTGTTCATTTTTAGAGGGACTCTGGTTAAAACTGCTGAGGAATAAGTGCAGTAGCCCATTTAGACCAAGAGTGTGTGTGTGTGTTTGCTGGTGACTTAGTCCAGTAACACCTGTCACTTTTTTAGGATCTAAACTCAGAATCTAAATAGTTCTGATCATTTAAGTTACCGTGGCAACAGTTACAATTTTAATGACGAAGAGCCCATCCTGAGATTTAAGTTCCTCTGCTTCTTAGATGTGTAACTAGAAAGTCCGTGCATTAGACTCCCGAATTCTGCCCGGTCACCTTCCAGTTGTGACTGCATCGTGACCTCTGTTCCACTCTTCCCTAGACACTGAAGGATCCTCCCCCAGAAAATGCGCCTGCTTGTTGCTGCGGTTTCCCTCTCCTCTGCCGTCTCATTTCCTGCATGTTGCCTGTCACTTACTTACCACTGGGGTCTTTGGAAGATAATCTTGTTATCTCGGAAGTGAGAGGAAAAGCAAAGGGAAGACCCTATTACTTTTTACCACTGGCTTCATAGAAGCACTTGCCACTCTTCATAGTGGGGTTTGTTTGCATCTTTAATTCTGGATGACAGGTGCCATCCTCTATTGCTTATTATTTGAGATAGTATAAAGTCTGTTTTGAGTTTGATTTATTTTGGCTTGGTAGAAATTTTTCTAGGAAATTATTGCTTATCTTTAGGAAATGCTTCCGTTTGTAAGCAGGCTCCGGAGGTTCAGAAGGCATTTTGGGGCGCGCTCATCTCATCGCTGTTCTCTGCATTTGGAGGCTAAGTGGGTGTGGAGTTGGGCAGCTTCCTTCGAGCAGCTTTTGTTTCCTACAAGTACTGTGTGAAGCACTGAAGTGTAGCTCACACACAGCATTGTTTACTGTCTGCAGCGGACCGCTGCCTGCGAGGAATCACTGATGCTGTTCATTGTTTTCCCAGCTGTTCGAGCTGCTCTCAGAGTCTTCAGTGGATAGTTTAGTTCCCATTAGGTGCATCTTTATAAAGCAAAGATGTTATATATTCTAGACCTGGCCTTTTATATCATGCTTCAAATGGGGAGACTCTAGATGAAATCTTATTTGATAGTAACTTCTGTTCTTAAGTTGAGGTCAGAGTTAAAAGGGCCGACAAAACCTGAAATCCCATGGCCTTGACAGCGGACTAAAATCAGTAGTACATTTAAGGTGAAAGAGAATTTGTGCAAGTCAACCACGATATTCACTTGAGTGAAGGCAGTATTGTGTGTCCTCTTTGAAAACATTTTGTAAACACCACTGCCTGCTTAGGTACCCATAATCCAGAGAGCTTATTTAACAGCCCCATGGCACAGGTCGTGTTGGCTGGGCAGGTAGCTTCAGCTGGGAGAAATAGTTCTTATTCTGAAAGAAAAATCTGTGCAGCCAGTGCAGAGTCCGTGTCAGAACATGCAAAGTGAGATGTCCGTACCTTGCAGACGGCGGGTGCATATAGACTGATATTTTCCAGGGCATCTGCTCACCACTGTGCTGTACATTCTTTCTCATTGGTCAGAGTTTGTCATTGACTTTGCAGTTCTCTTTGTGACTTTCCTTTACCCTCTTCTCCAACTTCTATAGGCCTCTCTGTTTATAAAGTGGAATAGGCAGGCAAGCTGTGTTTTGTTTTTTATAAAAAAGGGTTTTTTTGTAAATGTATCATGGTTATCCAGTGCATTGGCTAACATTTACTTAAGCCGTCCGTGTGACGGCAGTGAGCTCTATCCCTTTCCAGAGAAAAGGAAAGGGAAGGTTAATCACGGTCACCTTAGAGATGGCAGAGGTAGGGCTGGGGTACAGAATCCATTCCTGGCCTTTACTTGTCCATCTGCTTATAGACTAATGCTGAGCCACTAAGAAGTGTCAGATATATGGAATACTTTTATTTTCTTTACTATATAAGCTGAGTTTGAAGTAAGGGTGCATTCAATTATATTTTAAAGGGGGAAGCTTTTGTCAAGTTGTTGTCTTCAAATTTAAATTTATTCTTCATATAGCAGAATAGCTTAAGAGTAAACCAAAGGATAAGCAAGAAAGAATGAGTCCCTATAACCAAAGATGAACAGCGTTAACCCCGGATAGCTAGATAAACCACTGTTGGTACTAAGAAAAGTTTTCTGATGGTGAGGGGCAGGCGACTGTAAAGGAGCTTCCTATCTCGTCTCTCCACCTACGGTATCATCGTGGTTGTGTAGTACACAGGTTAATAAGCTTGATTTAAATTCTTTATTTAGCTGTGTTATTTGCACTACTTCAGTTGTATCATGTGCAGTTTCTTGACCAAGCCTACTTTTAAACTCTGTAGAGTATCATTTTATACATAGTCCCTGCTACAGAATTTGTATTGCTTATCTCAGCAAGAGATTGTGTGCATGGGAAGATTAATAGCACTGATTAGCTTTCTAATATTTTGCACTTTTTGAAATGTTTGTTTTTTACATGATTCTATTTAAAAGTTTATGAAATACTGAAATAAAACCATATTGACCAGTTGCCTGCTTTTACCTGGTTCGATCCATTATACAGCAAATGAATACAATAACCATTTCCTTCCCCTTTATGTTATTAAAGCTAATTTAAAAAGGAAGTTTGGGGTAAAGAACTAATATTTAAGTTCTTTTCCCTTGACTGGTGTTTTCATGATCATAGGCAGATGTAGTTCAGAATTAAAAGCACAGCAGTTACGAAGTCAGTATCACTTACGTCAGGTGGGCAGTCCAGCGTTTTACTTCGGAAATTTTCCAGCACTTGAGTGATACTTTATGTACCAAAAACACCCACGTTCACCATTTTCTTTGTCACATTTATTGAAGGAAAAAGAAACATTGAAAATATAGAAACACATCAGACCAGGTCATATTTAAAGTACAATCACAAAGAGAAGGGCAGTTGTTGGTCCAATAGCATCAGTTCTGGGGATGTCCTGTAATTGTTCCTTAAATCCCATTATGACGAAGGGACAGAAAAAGTTCATTTGTTCTCCAGACAAGAACATTCTTTTCTGCTTTAGCCAGTTGCAGAACTGATGCATTTGGGCAGATCTTCAGTCATACATGAATGGAAAGCAGCTTATGAACACAGTTCAGGAGTGTGGTTTCAATACTAGCAACTAATGATTTCCACCTCACTTGTCTTTACCATTTTAAAAAATTATTCAGTGGTTCAGTAAATAATTTATGCCCACAGGATTCAAAATGGACAGTAGTGTGTGGCTAGACTTAGATAAGACACATGTATAAGGCGGTAAAGAAGCCAGAACTGGACGTTTTCCTATTTAAAGCTTGATGGAATTGTCACTAGAGAAAGTAAACAGAACCAAAATAATTTAGTTGGTCGTGCCCTGGGTTTTAAGAGCTTGAGCTATGGAAAATGGAAATTTAACAGTGGGTTCTAGGGTATGTAAAGGCTTCTTTGTGAAAGAACCCTTAAGAATGGCATTTAAGTTAAATGTGAAACACTGTAGCTCCTGGGATACCAATCTGGTGGGCAACTGGAAGATCTTTTTATCAGAATGGGTGGCAGAGAGTCGTGAAAATGAACCTTGAACCTTGACTCATGACAAATCCATGTGAGTAAAACTGCATAAACATATGGAGACAGAATGAAGTGCTTGTGTCCTTACCTGTATCTCTTACGAGTTAACAGGTCAGACATTCTTGTCTTGGGCAGTTTAGAGGGGCTGATGCACCTAATCTCCACTGAGGTAGTTCTAATTTCTAAATACTAAAATGATAAAGGTCACCAGGCTTCTGTGCCGTGGGCAGTCCAAGGCTGTCCTGAAACGGTTTATGACATTCTGCGTCCGTCAGAGGAGGATAATACTGCCTGTAGCAGACATAGGCAAATGTCAGGCCAATCATGGATCCAACTAGTACATCTAAAAGAGAGGAGATAAGGTACTTTCTTAATCATACTGGACTCTTAAATGTTAAAACAGCACGCAGTGCTGGCACACCGATATTGAGGGTTTGATTCCAAATCACTGCAATAAAGCGAGTATCTCAGTAAAGCAAGTAGGATGAATTTTTGGTTTCCCAGTGCATAGAAGAGTTATGTTAACACTATCCTGTAGTCTACTAAAGCGTACAATTGCACTAGATCTAAACAAAAGTATATACCTTAATTAAAAAATATTTAATTGCTAAAAAATGCTAACCATCATCTGAGCTTTCAGCAAGTCATAATCACTGATCATAGATCACCATAACAAATATAATAAAAATATTTAAAACACTACAAGAGTTAGCAAAATATGATGGAGACATGAGGTGAGCAAATGCTTTTGGAAAAATGGCACTGACCTGCTCAGTGTAGGGTGCTAGAACCTTCCATTACTAAAACACAATTCTCTGTGAAGTGCGGTACAGTGGGGGACACCGATATAGAGAAGTTGGCCCTCCAGGTTAACTCTACTTGTTTGGGTGCAAAAAAACCTCAATTTCAGGTTTATGGTTTCTTTAGGCTTTCTCAATTTTATCATATAGTTAACAGGATTATCTTCAGGTTCTTTCCTAAACACCAAGTCAAAACACATACTTGAGGGCACCAGGGTGGCTCAGGTCATGATCCTAGGATCCAACCCCCACCCCACCCAAATTGGGCTCCTTGCTCAGCAGGGAGCCTGCTTCTCCCTCTGCCCTTTGTGCCTCCCCCCACTGTCTCTTAAAATAAATAAAATTTTAAAAATCCACATCTTTAATAAGTCTAAACCTTTTTCCAAGGATAGACTAAATTTTTTTAATTCAACTAGCCAACATATAGTACATCATTAGTTTCTGGGGTAGACTTCAGTGACTCATCAGTTGTATATAATGCCCAGTGCTCATCACATCATGTGCCCTCCTTAATGCCCATCACCCAGTTACCCCATCCCCCCCACCTCCCACTAGATTGAATTTTTTAAACATTCAAAATAACAAAAGTTTCACTTACTGCTATTAACCCCTTTTTCACCATTTAAAGAGTTCTAGAGGAAGTAATAAACTGTACAGGAGTTGCCCTTCTTTAAAGAAAATCAGCTTGTTCTTTAAAACAGGGCTCCTAAGGACTTCTGGGCAATATTATCAGCTTTTGTTTTTAATTACGGGTTTTATGTGAAGATACTCTGTAATCTGGATGTTTTACTATATCATTCAACAAATTTCTTTGGTTTAACTACAATTTTATATTTTCTTGAATTTTAGTTTCTGAACAAAAATCTCATGATGAACTTGATTTTTTTTTTTTAACAAACTTGATTTTTAAGACAGTAAATAGATTGACCTTTGAGGTTTGTTGTAAAAAATTTCTTAGAGGAAAAAAATTCTTAGTTTATTCTGAACCTGTGATGCTTCAAAATAACAGAAAAATTGGGACATTTCTCCTTGGTAATCTCTTTAAAAGGAAACTTGGTTCAGAAACCCAGACTATCCCATACTCAACTGTTGATTCATTTAACAGAGTCAGCGTCTCTGTGCCGAATGCTAGGGCTACGGCGGCAGGTGAAACATGCAGACTTACACGGCAGGAACACCCTGCTTACCTTGCCAGTGATGCTTATAGTCACATGTGCGGGACAGCGCAATCACAGATGCAAGGAGAAGAGGTGACAGAAAGGCACAGAACCTCCAAGACTTCCCACGGCCTTGTGGTGTGAAGCAATGTAACTTCCCTGCCAGGTAGAAGGAAGCGAAGGCCAGACCAGCAAATGCAACTAGAAGAGGGAAGACCAGTAAGCAGATGTCTTTCAAAAGAAGCTCCCTTGCTCATCTGCAGACAGGTGGCTGCGGGCACACACGTGCTTTATCCTTTTTGGGTACACTTGTGGTACAGATCATCTATGAGGAAACAGAGGGAAAAATGAAGAACTTTATTGTGTGTCCCAAGTTAATAATATTTACCCTTGGGAATAGTGTTTGGAATACTAGCAGCAGGACTTTGGGTAGGGTTGCTTCTTGATGCCTTAGTTTCCTGATGTATAAATAGGAATCATAAAAATAATAGTATCCATCTCTTTGGGCTATTACGATACCAAAAGAGATAAGAATAAAAAAATGCTTTCCAAAGCCCCTTCAATAAAGGTTAGTTAATATTTTCCTAACTAGTACCAGATTGTGGGATCTAGATAAATAATACAAGACTCATAAAATGTTCAAATCTCATGAAGGTAAACTACTTCCTCTATCTTGAACATCTGTCCTAATATTTGAGGCTCAGGCTTATGGAATCTTAGGGTTATTAAAGGAGGGGATTCTCTGGTTTTTAGCAATAGTGAGGTGGCCCCATCCTCATAAGCTTCCTAAGCTAAACTCGGTGACCCCAAGAAAGCACAGATGCTGAGTCCACACGGTATTCATACAGGAAGAATGTCCACTAGGGAAGCTCTTGCGGCCCTCATTCACCACGTCCTTCTCCCCTGTGCACGTCAAGTCGGAATGGGCTTGCCCGTCGGGGAAGCAGCGGTAGAAGAAGTCTGGGCGTGGCCTGAAAAAATAAACACGGTCTCAACACAGATCCCTTAACTTGGTTGTATCAGATACTGTAATCCTGTTCACAGTTGGTCAAATAGTGTCCCAGGTAAAATGATAAAACCATTAAAAGAAAAGCTTTATTTCCAGGGTCTACATTTAAGGGGGGCGGGCAGTCCGGCACATGATTATTTTTTAGGGCAAAGAGCAAGTCACACTGCAGCTTTGGGGTATTCTAGTGGACACTGACCCCGCTGTGCTGGTCAGTGGGAAACACTGTTCAGGGCAGGAAAGAGCCCAAGTGTCACCCACAGGACAGCCATAGGGGAGGGAGGCCATGTTAGGTGAAAGAACAAGGTCAGACTGAGGCTGGGGAGAGGGGGAGGAAGAAGATGGGTGGTGCCACGCCATTAACTATCTCCTGCAGATGGGATGCCTGAGGCAGGCACTGGGGCGCAGACTGGTCACTCACCTGCCCACGATCAGTTTTATTGTGTTAGTAAAGACACCGTTCAGAGCCAGGGCAAGGCTGGCAGCTGGAAAATAAAGAAACTTACTATTAGTGGGTTTTGCCTAGGAGGACTTGCATGGTCATGGTCTCATCAAGAGAGCAGCTGTGGTCTTTTTTTTTTCTTTAACGATTTTATTTTATTGGGCACCTGGGTGGCTCAGTCATTAAGCGGCTGCCTTCGGCTCAGGTCATGATCCCACTGTCCTGGGATCGAGTCCTACATCGGGCTCCCTGCTCAGCAGGGAGCCTGCTTCCCCCTCTCTCTCTCCCACTCCCACTGCTCGTGTTCCTGCTCTTGTTGTCTGTCAAATAAATAAATATTTTTTAAAAATAAAAAGATTTTATTTGACAGAGACAGACACAATGAGAGAGGGAACAGAGGCAGGGGAGTAGGAGAGGGAGAAGCAGGCTCCCCACGGAGCAGGGAGCCCAATGCAGGGATGGATCCCAGGACACTGGGATCATGATCTGAGCCAAAGGCAGCCCCTTAGCGACTGAGCCACGCCGGCGCCCCAGCCATGGTCTTTTTGAGATAGGAACGGTCAGGCTCCAGCCAGAGCTGAGCAGAAAAATCATTCTAGGCCTGAACGTGGTGGAGTAGAGAGAGCACTTCCGGACTAGGCCGAATACGTTTCTGGGGTACCAGTCATTCAGCACATTGTTCACATCGGAGGTCAACTATGTTCTCAGAGTGCCAGCTTTCTCACGGGTGACAACACGGGTACGGGAGACAGGATGACTTTAGGAACATAGAACTCCGTGGTCTCCACAGGCAGAGGTCACACCTCCAGTGGCTGAGATGCCGGCACTGAGGAGACAGAGACCAGCCCAGCCAGTGAGGGCTCGTTCTTACCCAGGCAGGCTTGTTTGCTGTCTGTCGCACCAGCCTTCTTGAGACATCGGGCCAAGAGGATCAGGGACAGTGGGGAGAGAAATGCAATGACCTGAAACAGAAGATGGTAGAGGTTAAAAAAAAAAAACCCAAACCAAACCCCCAGTAAAACCACACAGCTAGTGGTTCAAGCAGTGCCGACAGGGAGGAGGGATGGAGGGGACAGCAGAAGTCACAGGTCAGACCTAGGGGGTCCCTGTCAGTGTATGCAGTGGCAGCGTCTGCGGGTTGATGGGGCAGGCACCTGCTCCACCGGGAACGCCACGGCCATCAGCCATTACTCTACGTGACGGGTTACCTCAGTCCATCCTAAGGAGCAGAGCTCACAGAACGTGTCTTTTGGGCCAAAACTGGCATCCTACGCTCTCAATTTGGATCGTTATCATAAGGAAACAAGAAGTTGAGCCCCTCATCAAAGGGAGCAAGACGCTCCCCACGAAAGACCTCTCCAGATCACCCTGAGCCAGACGGACCGCCGCCTGCTCCCTAGCATCGAGCTCGTCCTAAATATTAAGGGTCGGAAGGAAGGCTAGTTCTCCACGCACAAACATGGGCTTGGTGGGGAAGTACTCGGCTTCCACATACGGATTCCGGTAAAGCCACATCTCCTCCGGCTGGATCAGCCTCTGGAAGGGAGGGAGGAGCTCCGTTACCCTAGAGGGGAAAGAAAAATGTGCAGAGCACTTTGGTTTGCTTCCGGCCTCCGGCCGCTCGCTCGTCGGGACTTCCCACCGCTGCCCCCACCCCGCCCCCTGCACCGGGAGCCCAGGGCAGAGGCAAGGGCTGTCCGGCCGCCTGCCGCCTTCGGGGGGCGGGGGGGACGGCCCAAAGGCGCGGGCCGCGGGGTGCAAGCGGCGGGAGGCTTACAGGAAGGCCGTGAACAGGGCGAGCCGCACGCCCAGCTCGGCACCGAGGGCCGCCACCTTCCCCATCCTGCCGTCAGCCGACAGACGCGGCGCTGACGTGGCAGCTCTTGCGGCGGCGGCGGGAGGCGAGGCCGCCCCGGGGAGGGCCGTCCCGGCGGTGGCTGGCCGGGCCTCGGCGGCTCGGGGGCGCGGGCTGGCGGACGCTGGACGAACTGCACCCGAGGAAGGCGTCGCAGCCACTTCCCTGCCCAGGCGGGTCGGCCATCCCTCGGCGCCGCTCTGAGAGCCCCAGCTGGCGGCAGGAAGGAGGCGCCCGCAGTGCCATTCCTGCCGTTCCAGGAGACACCGACCACGAGCGGGCGCCCCGCGTCTGGCCGAGCGGCAGGCCTCCGCGGAGTCTGCTAAGTCGCCGGGATGAAAGTGACGCACATCTCCCTTCCGGCCGTTCGCTCCATAGTCTCCCAGCACACTAAGCAAGAAGCAACATTCTCCAAGGTCCTTCCCTCTGTGAAAACACGACCAAACCCCACGTTACCAGCTCCAAGCTTATTTGCGACCGCATTTTGAAGGGCCTCGGGTCATCGGCAGGCACCGGGTGCCTGCCCTCCCCATTATGACCTCTCGCCCAGCAGTTGTGACAAGAAACTATAGGCAATGAACAAGTCCACAGTTCGATTTGGAACATACAGGACAATTTATTGAAGTCAATCTCAAGCAAAATCTGAAGTCAGTGGAATGTCATTAAGAACCTTTCCAAATTAATCCTCACGGAAGCAAAAAACACACCTGAATTCCAAAGTATTTGTAAAATAAAAAAAGGCAACATCTCAGTAAATATAATGTACAAAAATTTATGTTCCTACCGGCACACACAGTAGTAAGAAGCTTAAAATTCCAGGCAATCCTAAATATACTATAACTAGTCAACAATAAGCTATCTATATACAGGTTAACCAAGCTTTACACGTTTCACACTATGCAGTAAAACATAGGCCATTCAACAAAACCCCCAAAATATCATATATCTTGAAGTCTATGTGGCAACATCAAGTCATTATACAGTAATGCCCTAGTGGAACACCCCCCAGGGAAAATGAACACTAATCCCTTAGTGTCAAGAGCTTCTAGCCAAGTCACAGAAACTCAAAAGAGATCGACTTTAGTGAATATTGATGCTTTCTTATTAAAGACTCAAGTCTCAAGTGATTTAGGCAAAATAACATTTCACAGGATCTACAAATTTATTACAGATAAACAAAGTACAGAAATAACCAATCTACAAAGGTCATTATCATAGATAAAGATCACAAGAAAAAGAAAACAATCTGTAGGTATCTGTGTTTGCTGTGCAATATCACAAGTGGTTACAAATGAATTTCTCCTATCAATTCCAATTATGCACACACCCTTGTATAGAAAAAGGATCTTATTAGCTAGTTGTAATCATCATTTAGTATCAATCATCATTTAGTATCTTGGTCATCGGAGGCAATGTGATTTTCTTTTTTAACAGAGGGTATGTGACAGTACAAATGAGATAAAGAGCAGTATTAATGACAACAGAGTAAAAAGTAAATTGTATCCAGTCCACTCCTAACCCGACAAGAATACCTCATACATACCTCGTCTCGGTGATCTGATGGACACTGCGCACCCCGCGTGCACACATCGAAGGTCTGTGGCAGGTGGGGGGGGCGACCGGCACCTGAGGGGGCTTGCCTGCCAACTCGCAGATCCGGAGGGTCACATAAGAAAACTAAGGACTGAATAAATGACTTTGGCAACTGTTCATCATTTTCGCTTTTTCTTACATGTAACTGACTTTCACAGGCTACAGAAGGGCAGGCTGCTCTCCTCCTCCCCACCACACACACATCTGTGCCACAAGCACCTGAATTTGTCACTTAAGCAATGGACTGACGGAGAAAAGAACGGAAATCGTTTCTGAAACACACACAGACTACACCCTGCGTTTCAGGAGTGTAACGTAAGTGCAAATTTTTGTTTTTTCCCCTACACAGGCATATGTATTAAAAGGAAAGAAGAGGTGCATGGGGGTGGGGTTGACAAAAATACAAGAGAAAGAACACACATGGGAAATACTCATAAAAATGCTGGTATTTCATGCAAGAGTCTCTTCCTCGAATGTGTACATGAAATCTGAGCTATCTGCTGTGGACACTCCATCCCATTCGCAGAACTTTGCCTTTAATCCAAGTTGAAGAGGACAAGAGACTAGGCTATTTGTTTTCAAAACAGTATACAAAACAATGCTTTCTACTTCATAAATTTAAAAATAACTGTAAAATAAGGGGAATCTGAAGAGTTTCAAGTACTTAAAAAACCTGAATTCAATGAGGCAGAGGTCTCAATGTTAAAGTGACTACTTCGTACCTGTGGTAAACATTGTCATTCCCCCTCCCTCACCCTGTTCTAACCCCCTTTTCTTCCTGTACCCTGCCCCGGGGGAAAAGTTGGTAGATTTCAGTACGTACACATTTCCAACTTTTCAATATTCATTAATACATGGCAAAGCCGTCTAATCATATCTCTCCCTAGCTTAGCTGAAAATGGAGGCGAGTTCTCCTCTTGGTTTACAGACAACCAGGGACCAACTGCAAGTGGCCTAGGCCAACGGAAATCGTTCCAAATGATCACTTTGTGTGTGCAGCAACCTGGCCAACTCCGGAAGTCGAATCTGCTCCGCCCGGCAATAAAGCCACTTGCCAGTGGCATCGCACCTCCTCCCAGGTGAGCTTCCCAAACCCGAAGGGCTCTACCACAACCTGTGTCCTTATCCTCTTGGGACATGGCATGTGGCAGCTCCCTGATTTCAAGGTGAATGCTAAAGGAAGCTTTGTACTTAACAATGAAATGAAGGACCAGCCATGAAGCTGGGGGGTCCACCGATGACGTTCTGTAGGGCTGCCCTATGCCGTCCAGGCTGGCTCTGACCCTGATTAGAACACGGACTGCGCAGCGAGGCCAAAAGGAAACTACTTCATGAGCAAGGAGAGAAACTTGTCCAACAGCCTGCCTGCTCTGAGAGTCCTTTACATGGTTATCTCAGAATTTCAAAACATTATTTACAAGCATGTTTCCAAGTATTATGTGGAAATAGCAGAAGGGATCTCAGAGCCACCCCCCCATTATTATTATTATTTTAGTTTTTACATTTGTTCCTGACTTAAACACACAAGAGAGCTCCAACTTTCAGTGATTCTAAAAGTCGGCCTATTCTATATCTCAGGCCAGACCATTTCTGAGAATTAAGGTAGAGTAGGAACTTGTTAAGATAAAAATGAAAATAAAACCCACCTCCCTCTTGACTCTAACCCTGATTAGATATTAAAGAAGAGAATTGCTTCCTCCAGACATGCTGGCCTTCTAGGAATGAGGGGTGGGTGACCGCAACCCTGCTGACCCCACCACTGGCCACGGGCCAGCCCCTGTCTGCACCATGCATGCCGGGAGGGCCCATTTCCTCTACAGTTGTAACCCATCATATTTCTGAAGCTTTATGCTGATTATCAAAAACTTTACATTCACTTTTTCCAAAGAAGTAACATGAGGCTAAAAAACAAACAAACAGAAACCACCATTATCCCATGATGCTTTAAGTTATCTCATTTTTGGACAAGAATAAAACCCAACCATTTCTGCTCTGACCACACATTTGAAAGTTAACAAAACCAACTACAGACCATGAGAGAGCAACGCGTCCTTTGGCCCACCGGGTTGGTGAGTGCAGGCAAGCACGGTGCGTGCACATGCTGCGCACGGGAAGCACAGCTTTCTCCCCCTGCTTTCTGCTTCCACAGCCTGCAACGTGAAGATATGTAAAACAGGTTGGTTGTGACGCCATGGAGGTGTGAGGAGAGCTCTGGGCCACTGACGGGATGAAAGCCTCTTTCTGGACCACTAAAGAGCACTCCTGGATGAAGCCTCCAGAGCTGTAGTTAGTAGCTATTTTGTTTTTTACCCTAATTTCTGAAATGGCAGAATGATCCTGTTAGGTACCCTCCCACCCCCCCAAAAAAAGATTTAAAAATCTCAGCAGAGCCATTATGACAAAATGTGACATGATGAGGAAGCTGCATGAAAATACTGAAACCTAAGGTATTTGTAAGTATACGGATGGACCCTGGCTTACCATATAAAAGTCATCAGATATTAAATAGCACTAAGTCCAAAACAAAGCAAGAAGAGAAGAGTTCATGTGGGATACGGTTTCAACAAGTTATATTTTGAATGTTAAAAGAAATCCTTCATATTAGTAAGTTTAAAAAAAGCAAACATTTATCTCATATATATATATATATATACACACACATATATATATATAAAATAAAGTTTTAGTATGATAAAACCTAGATTTTCTTAAATTATTTTTTAAAAGGATATCAAACTATATAATTGCTCAAGAGCAAAGTTTAGTGTTTTGGTGCGCTGTGCTGCACGTTACTGGTAGCGATTTGATCTGGTAACATGCACAGCATTTTCCATTTTGCTCTTTCTCCTGGGACCATATCTAATCAAGAGAATTCCTGGAGGCTCTATAAGTTACCTCAGAATTAATTGCTGGAATCAGGCAAATGGCAGTTTAGGAGCTTAAGTAAAGGAATTGTAGTGTGATATATATTTTTTTGTTTTATGTTGTTTTTTTTACAAGAGAAAATCCAGTTCAATTGCACATTTACATTAAAAAAGAGAGAGAGAGAGAGGCACAAAAGAGCTTTTTTTTTCTTTTTTCCAGAGAAGAACTCTAAATTGATAAGAAAAAAGGAACACACATAACTGAAGGAACACGGCTGAGCATCTCCCCTCCCTCCCTTCCTAAGGTTCCTAGGTACTTCTTGAGGGAAAATAAATGCCACCAGGTACCAGCAATTATAAGCAGTCAAAATTCACAGAGAAGGTTAACATTCATTCAAGCTAGCCCTAGAATTCTACTTAGTCCAGTGTGACAACATCTAACATTACTAATTAGTTCATACAAGGACTACTGGAATATACATATCCCAAAGCATTAAATGCAAGTGAACTTTGTGGTTAGACATCTTGGTACATTGGCATCTAGGAGATCCAAGCGTCACAGCCAACCATTTTTGCTAACACTGCTTTCTTGGGAGCTTCCCTAAGTGCTTCCTAAGACAAAGTGTGTTTGTGTGGCTCTTACACACCCTGTAGAAAGGCTTCCCTTTCCTCAGTGGGGCAATTTTAATTAGTAGATAATACTAAATAGAAACTGTTTGCATATAACCGGGAGATGTCCCTACCCCTTCCACCCCCCAAATGAGGAACTAAACCCAAAAGACCTACTCAGATACAACTGTGACTCGCTTGTGTTGTTTTCACCAGGAAACAAGGCCAGCAGGTGGCCAGCAGACAGGGAATGTTTGATTCGGGGAGGGAAGCAGAGACAGGAAAGGAAACGCCCATAATACCCTCCAGGTCAGACTAGCAGCTCCGTTACTCTGCACAGAATGACCCCACTCTGGGTCTGGGCCTTCCACCTCCCTTCAGCTGCCTCTGTCCACATGTTGGAGCAACAGGCACGACCACTCCAACGCTGCATTCACCTCCACATAAACACACTTCATCAAAAATGTCCACTGTCAGTGGAAAACATTTCAAACTCAGTGAGGGCACCTGTTTCTGTTTTTCCCCAGAACCAAAAACCACATTCTCTACCTTTCTAGGTAAAGGTATCCCATCACAAAGCTGGCCTAGGTGCAAACCACTGAGGGTAAAATCCACTGAGGCATTTGTTTTCAAGAGGCCAGATTCAGGACTCGCACAGCACCCTTCTCTGAGCCAAGAAAAGTCATCTGGAGGAAAGAGAAGTGAGCCTACCTACTGCTCAGCGGAGAGGTATATAAAGGTCATCAGAGCCTTTTCTAGAGGGCCTGCTCCAAATGCTACTTCAAACACACACGCACACGCACACTGAATAGACTACCTGAACTACACTTCTCCAGAGTTTTAAAAAATGAAAATAAATAAAGGAATGAGGGCTACTTTTTTGCTTTTTACACCCAAGGAACACATCCTAGACTTAAAATTTATCTCATTAACAAAATTTCCTTTTCTCTTCGCTGTTTTCAGAGTGAAGACATCTCTTTCCCCCCCCCCGCTGCAAAGGCATGGAAGCATAATAGAAGGCAAGAGAAGACCAAGGGAATTTGGCCGGCCACGAAAGAATCCCCAACCCACAAAACAGAAAAACAGCCCCAGGCCACGCGCTTCTGCCCGCGTGCTCCCGGCCCCAGCGCGCACGGCCACAAGGCGGCGCCCCGGGCAGGGACTGTGCGCGCGGCAGCAGCTTTCTCCTGCCGACGTGCCACCAAGTCACTTGTTTCTTTTCCGTTTTTTCATCTCAATAAAAAGAAAAAAAAAATCACCACCCATTTATTCTTTCAGTTCTTCACGATCTTGTGACTCCAATTTGCATTTGATCTTGCTCCAGTATTCTGCGGACACAGGAGACTCGGGGTCATGCTCGGAGCAGCAGAGCCGGCCTTCCAGAGCAGAGGGGACCAGAGCGCCCTCTTCATGATCTTTACAAAAGGAGTGTGGGCAGAACTCGCAGAAGGAGACGGCAGCACGACTGCACTCCTCGCACTGATGCCACGGGCATTCCCACTTTCCTACGGAGGGGTGCGAACAGAGAAGAGACCTCTTGATTACCCACGAAAAACCCAAGTTTGCACCATCTGCTGAGACTGGATACTGAATTCAATTAGAATACAACTCCAAATTCTGGCCAAACTTATGTCTGAGTGTACTATTGGGAATGGATGTGCACTGCGTCCCAAACTCACCGCCAGAAAGAGGAGCAACTGCTCGCCATGGTAACAAGGCCTGAGAAACCAATCCTCCTGGCCCTCACCTATCCCACATTTGCAGACAGACTTTTCACTAGCATACTTGGTTTCTAGTGTTGGCTGTTCTGTTCGTTATCCATCCCATGGCTCCACTAAGGAGAGCAAAGTACATTCCAGGTGACACATCACTGGACAAGCCGCAAGTCAGGGAAAGGGTCCCGAAAGGCTCGCTTACCATATGGTGGCTGAGTCAGGTTAAGGCATAAGAGGTGGTATGCTTTGGGACAGTCTTTTTTGTCACACATGACCAGCTCTCCACCATCTCCACATTGAAAACAGTAGTCTTCATGCATCTGCTTTGGTTCTGCTTTGATTTTTCGCCTCTTCTGCTTTAACTTAGCATTTTTGGCTTTTTCTTCAGCTGTTGACGCACATGTCGACTGGCAGGGAGAAGGAGAACACAGCGTGTGAGGCTCTACATGGAAGGGAAGCTCCCATAGCTTCATACTCATCTGAGTTCTCTTAAGCTCTGTTGTTCAGTTACCTAAAAACCAGCAGGAGGACTTCTCCATAACAGGACTGTAATAAAAATAAGACCTCGTTTTCATTGATTTTTTAATAAGGCGCTTTGTTTTTTTTTAAATTGCAAGGATTCACCACTTCAAAGTGGCTCATCCAGTGGTTTGGGGTATAGTGTGGATTTTTAAGAAGTTTTTGAAAAGGATGTTGGTAATTCCAGATTCAATGAGAAATACAAACATCTCTTCAGAACCTGATGGATCTAAGATCTGCTTCACTGGAAAGTCAGAGAGTCTACACTCTGGTTAACATGATGGCTGCGAACTAAACTGGGGATCCATTTGCCGGCCTGGGGCACTCGCTCCCTGCACCACTGACCTTGGGCCGCACTCCCAGGAAGCCGCTGCAGTTTTCTGCCCCACAGTGGCATTCCGTTCTGCCGTTGCCCAGACAATCCAGGTTATAATTAAATGTTAACTCCATCCCTAAAGTAAGAGAAATAATTACTCATACTCGAGTCACAGGGAAGAGATATGCTGTCACACACGCACTCTCATAATGAAAAGAGAGACATAATTCTGACCTGAAGGCTTTTCTCTCACCCGTGCTCCACAATGAAGAGCGATGGGGGAGAAACAATAGAGAAAAACACCCCCATCCACCAAATATTGCAGAAAAAAAAAAAACAGTTTATAAAAGCTGTCATATCCTTCTCATTGAAGTGGTCAGAAACTATGTAACAGACCAAGAATTGGAAATCTGTGCTTGGGAGAAAAGGGCTCTGGTTTAGCTTGCTTTTCTAAAGCTAATTTACATGGCTTTCTGAATGAACAGTAGGGCCGTGGAGTAGCAGCGACCACACGGTCTCTGATGATTAATGCTTTAGAGTGTGCTCGGAGAAGAGCTCACAGTGCGGATTTACTAGTCACACCAAAGACTCAGGGACCCGAACCGGGTCGTCCAAGCTTGCTGCTGGGCTGGTCCTGAACAGAGTCCCCGGGATCAGCTACAGCTCTTCCCTTCTCACCCATTTCTCTAAACCCTGGCAGAGAAGCAGCTAGATGTTGCTGGTAGGATGCTGGGCGGCTGAGGGAACAGGGAAGCAGTAACTGCCTTCGGAAGCTTTTCGAGTCTAATTTGAAACAGACTGATCTTTCAACTAAAAAACAAACAAACAAACCCTCCCCCAACACAAACCAAGAAAGCAGCTGATGTTAACCCAGTATGTTAATACTTTAAATAAGAGAACAAAAGCTTAAACATCTGGTTGTATTGTGCAGACAGCAATAATTGGGAGAAGTCATTCAGGAGGGTCGTGGACACACAGGACTCTGTTACATCCTCTTGGACAGAAAGGCTCTTGCTCAACTCCCTTTTGCAGGACACGGATTTTCACTTCTTTGTGGCAGATAACAATTCCAAATGTAACCCCACTGTACTTGAATAAATACTTGAGCATCAAACCTGGAAGGATATTCTGCCCAGAGAGGGGCACATGGAGAGCAAATAGCTTTTTTACCTGCAGGAATATCACAAAGGGCAAAAAGCCCCACTCGAACATCTCCATTCACTGTCCACTTTTGTGTTTCACAGTTTGGATTACAACTGTGGTTCATAAAGCGAGAATAATTTCCTTTGGGGCCAGCATCAATTATACGGTCCTTCAGAAAGAAAAGAAATGGAGGTAGCTTTGACATAAAATCAAGTACAAGCCTATCTCAGAAACATCCAACACCAGCCCAAGTCTATGGCAACTGCCAACTCCCCCAACACATGCTCTCAGGGCCGGTGACCAAGTTGTCTACTTTATTTGATGAGCTTTAAGCCAAGACAATGAAGATAAAGTGGAATTCAGTTTCTATTTTTTTAAACTTTGTTTCTAGACACAGATCATAGAAAACTGCTACTTAGAAAATGAACTGGCCGCGGGCATGCCATAGTGCAGAGTTCAGCCAGCTGCCTGGGGTGGGAACCACGCTACTGGCTGTCAGCCCTCCTTTCCTGCAAAACCAGTGCGGGGGTAAATGGACAGGACAGCACGCCATAAAGAGGGACAGAGGAAGTATGGGAGACTTTCCTCTGAATGAAGATCCGGACGTTTGATCAACAGAAGGGCTATCACGTGAGACATACTCTGCAGCGGTTACCTGCTCCTCCTATTTTCACTTACACTGACGTTCAGAACACAGTAAAAAGCTCAACATTCTGGCCCTGAATTCAAACTCTGATCATCTGGATGAGTTCTGGAGGACGGAGCCTCCCAAGTGTCGTCAAGATGGCTGGAGGGCCTCCGACAGCAAGCAGTGGACTTGAAGGGCCACTCAGCCATCAGAAATAAATAGCATTTTATATTTATGAAATTTATGTTCCTGAAAGTGGTAAAACTGTCAAACAATGACATATCAGTTAAATTAGAGTTCTTGTAAGTGATTTCCAGTTCTTACTTTTAATGCTATTCTAACTCAGTTTCAGGGAGAGCCTGGAACATACAAAACATGGGTACTGGTCTTAGCCCGTCACTCAACTGTGACAAGATATCCAACAGATCGCTTGTCAGGGCTGGGCCTCAGCTTCCCATCCTCCGCAAATCAGAGGGCTGCTGAAGAAAGGACCAAGATAACGGATGTCCCGAATGTGCGGCAAATGGGACTTATGAGCACATGGATTAATCTAGCAGCTTTACTGTCATTTCATTTATGATGGCACCCATTTGTCCTAACTCAGACACAAAATTTCAGTACACAGAACGATTCAGAGTCAGAATTTTTGTTAAATCAGAACTTGAATGGGGCTTTAAAACTTAGCATGAGAAAGCTGTCTCTGTCAGTGACGGAGAAACTGAGGGCCAGGTCCTTCAGTGACTAAGAAGAGCTGAGACAAAAAGCCCCGTATGTCCACGCTGGTCCTGGTCATCTGTCCACTCACATGCCAAGTGCAAGGCTTCAACAATCAGCCTTTGTGTAGCCTGCTATAATTAGCATAATATGGTGGCTAGCGTACTGGCTACGGCAAAGCACCCTCATTCTCCAGAAAAAAACAATCAAATTAGAGGAAATGGAGTTCAACCTAAGCCCATGAAACAAAGACCAAAAATCCTTTTTTTCTTACAAAAAAAAAGCAATTTTACCTTGGTAACAGTTAACATATAAAAATTAGTTACACTGTTCTCGTGGGCTCTCTTGATTCGCAATCTGCATTCTTCTTCATCAATTAATTCGCCAACGTATTCATTTACAAATTCACCCTGCAGAGAAGCATGCACTCTGTAAATGTAAGACCAGTGTGTTCCCTTTGAGAGCGTTCCTTAACACCCATGTGTAATCCAAGAGCATTAACCAAAAAGAATCCTGGAAATCAAACGCTAGAAAGAAATAGTAGTTGTCATTCCCTGGCAGGCAGGTGGCACTATTTTTCTTGTAGCAGTGTCTCAAAAGGTGATAACCTGTCTTTTCTTGCGACAATATGATTTATGACAACATGCCCAAGTGACATAATGGTGGGAGCCGGAGATAAGGCTAACTCAAGCCTTTGAGGGTGTATTACGCTGACTTTTACTAAGTGTACAGCATTAGGGTTAATGCCTGTTAAATGAATTCTTTTTTTAAAAAACTTTTTATTTTGGAGTAAATCTAGATATTCACAGGCAGTTGCAAAAATAGCGCAGAGAGGATCCGTGTACCCCTCACTTAGCATTTCCTGAAGGCAACATCTTAAGGAGCTATAGGACTGTATTAAAACTAAAGAGCTGACATTGGTACAAATTATAAATCTTATTCAGACTGCACTAATTTTATATGCACTATGTGTGTGTGTGTATATGTGTGTGTGTGTGTGTGTGTGTGTGTGTGTGTGTGGTGTAGAATCGTGTCACCACCACCACAATTAGATACAGAACTGTTCCATCTCCACGAAGACCCCTTGTATAGTCCATAATGACACCAGCCTCCTTCCCTCCTCCACCCCATCCCATGCTTAATCTGTTCTCCATCACCGTCGTTTGGAGTATGTTCTGTAAATGAAATCACACAGTATGTAATTTTTTGAGGTTGGCAAAAACCCCCTCACTCTTAATTCTCTTGGGACCTGACCCATCTGTTGTGTGTGTCCGCAGTCCAGTCTGTTTTCTCCTGCTGAGCACTCTTTCGCCCTGTGGACGTACTGTGGTTTGTTTGCTGGTTCACTCTCCTGAGGCATGTCTGAATTATTTCCATATTTGGGCTATTACAAACCAAGCTGTTGTGAACATTCTGGTAAAAAGTTTTTGTGTACACATAGGTTTTCACTTCTCTGGGATAAATGGCCGGGAGTACAACTGGTTGGGTCAAATGGTGAGTTTAAGTTTAGTTTTATAAGGAACTCTTTTCTGGAGTGTTTGCACCATTTCACATCCCCATCGTACTTTCCCACAGCAGGAGAGACCCGGGTTCTCCATATCCTTGTCAGCACTGCCGACTAGTTTTCATTTTGCTGTTCTCACAGGTGTGCAGTGATTAGATTCTTTTATTATTTTTTAAAGATTTTACTTACTTGATAGGGAGAACGAGAAAGAGCACAAGCAGGGGAGAAGCAGAGGGAGAGGGAGAAGCTCTCAGCAGGGAGCCCAACACAGGGCTCAATCCGAGGATCCTGGGTTCAGGACCCAAGCAGAAACCAGGAGTCAGACACTTAACTGATTGTGCCATCCAGGCGCCCCATGACTAGCTTCTTTTAACATAAGGTAAATACTATAATTCAACATCTTGTGTTTATACATTCATAGTCATTAACCCTTTCACCCCAAAAGCATGGCTAATTCAATCCAGGACAAGAGCATTACCTACAGAACTTTTTGTCATATAGAAAAAGAGATGTCGTAGAAAACAATGTATTTGCTTATTGTTTCACCAGGCTTCTTGTTCTTCCCACCCTGACTTCCTCCCCTATACAAATTTTCATTAGTTCTTAGAATTCATGGTTTTATCACTTAGATTCACGGTTCTGAGAATCACAGAATTGATAGTAAATTTCAGCAATCTGAAGAGAAGTACCATATTCTCTGATTTTGGCAAATCATTAAGAACATAAGCCAACATTCTTACAAATATTTAATCTTTCTCTACTGATAAAAACAAAAGATTGTCACTTCTGTAATAAGAGAAAAAGTTAATGGGTCAAACTGGAAGGAACCAACCTAATGTCCTGTGCATGTCCCTTCCCATAGTGGTCTGCTGTTAGTGGGGTCAGTGAGGCTGAGAGTCAGCCTCAAGGAGCTACATACTTGCTTCCACTGGGGAATGGTGGCCCCAAAAGCTGACCTCTGGGCTATGACAAAGAATTAGGTTAGAAAAAGAAATGTACAAATACCAAAAAAAAAAAAAAAAAAAAAAAGAAAAGAAAAGAAAAGAAAAAGAAAAAGAAAAAGAAAAAGAAATATATTTAATTGATAACTGGAACTATGTTTTCCTTCCAGTCCTTTCTCACAAAGGACGGAGGAGGGTATGCACATTTGAGCCCCATGCTCTGTCACCTTACCAGGCTTTCCCATCGCGTGGGACCACCGCCCTCACAGGTAGATTTCCTCACCACCCTGTGTTACTATACTTATTTAATGGCAGGGTCAGTTTTTGTTTTTGTTTTTGTTTTTAGAATAACTGACTGGATAAAAAGTCAGTCTAGTCTTTATTTACTTAAGACAAGGGAGGACTCCTCTTTATATTGGAATTAGCCCAGTGCCGGTGCCATACATGCAAGACTGGGTTAATGGCAGGGTGTTTTTTTAACTGAAACCCATAGAGCAGAACTGCAACCAATTGGCTATACATCATCTTTTCCACATATTAGGATTCAAGGTAAGGTTTCATTTAAAGAAATGGTTCTGTGGCTGTGAAAGCTTGAGTATCATGTATTATGGTTTATATTTACTGTTTTATGAAAAGGAGTGAATACAGGAAAGTTAAAAGTGCTGATATCAATTTGATAACACTGTAAATAAATATTCCTAGCTATTTTATAAAAGAAATATTTCCGATGTCCTAAAGGGACAAACCTTAGCCTCAAAGAGTTGCTCACCGGGGCGCCTGGGTGGCTCAGTCGGTTAAGCATCTGCCTTTGGCTCAGGTCATGATCTCAGGTCCTGGGATCGAGCCCCCGTAGGGAGTCTGCTTCTCCCTATCCCTTTGCCACTCCACCCTTTGTGCACGCTCTCTCTCTCTCTCAAATAAATAAATAAAATCTGAAAGAAAAAAAACCCAAAAAACTAAAGAGTTGCTTACTGGACTTAAAACCATTAACTGTGGGGTACCTGGCTGGCTCAGTTGGCAGAGCATGGAACTTTTGATCTTGAGGTTGTGAATTCAAGCCCCACATCAAAAAATAAATAAATAAAATCTTATAAAAAGACAAACAAACCCAAAGGACACCCATTAACTGTGAATTCAACTGTGAACAAAAATGACCAAATAAAGAACTTTAAAAATGCTAGTAATCTGTCCTTAAAGACTATGGCAAAAAGATAGGGTATAATTCAGTATTTAATATATATATATTTTAATTTTTGAGAAAGAAATCACTCTGTAACAGGAAGTCTCTTACTTGGCTCTGGCACACATTTTCAGGAATCTGTTACATATAAAAAGGAGAGAACTGGCTGTGTACAATCAATTTCATATTTGGCTTCTGTCCCCTCAATTCACCACAAATCTTTTCTATGTTGCTACCCAGTCTTCATGATTTCGCTTTTCAGGAATATAGACTTCCAGCTATTTTGTAGAAGACCAACTGTCTTACATTAGGAATTCCTCAAGAGCTAACTGGCAGAATAATCCTAGCTATATTTTTCTTTTCTCTTGATTATATCAATTTAATAAATTAGAATACATTTTAAAATAAATGCAATTACTCTTAAAAGATGTTAACATGATATTAAACTGGATAAATTTCAGGGTAACCCCTAAAACTCCCCAAGTCACAGGCAAAAATTTGTATATGTGATATGCATGGCATTAAAGTAACATCAAAAATTTTGCATTCTCGGGGCACCTGGCTGGCTCAGTTGGAAGAGTGTGCTCCTCTTGATCTTACAGCTGTGAGTTCGAGCCCCATGTTGAGTGCAGACATTATTAAAAAAAAAATAATAAAGAATTTTTTTTGCATCCTATAATGACTTTTGTTTCATTAAGTAGGCTCCATGCTGTGTCCAGGGCTTGAACTCATGACCCTGGGATCAAGACCTAAGCTGAGCCAAGAGTTGGACACAACCAACTGAGCCACCCAGGCGCCCTACCTACAACGACATTTTATTTTTTTAATTTTATTTATTTATTTGACAGAGATCACAAGTAGGCAGAGAGGAAGGCAGAGAGAGAGAGAGGAGGAAGCAGGCTCCCCGCTAAGCAGAGAGCCCAACGCGGGGCTCGATCCCAGGACCCTGAGATCATGACCTGAGCCGAAGGCAGAGGCTTAACCCACTGAGCCACCCAGGTGCCCCTACAACGACATTTTAAATGCTAATGGCCTTTGGCCAAGGGACGCGATCCATATATCTAATGCATCGGCGAATCCTGTTGGCTCTGCCTTCAAAATGTCAGCAATCCACCCACTTCTCTTCTGCTACAACCCTAGCGGTCCACACCACCATCATCTCTCTCGGATGATAATGATCTCCTTTTTGCTACTCCTTCCCCATGACCATAAATTCCCCAGACTACACCCAGTTATTCTTCTGAACCCCAAGGGTGGCACACAGGTACTTAAGATGGCCCCCAACATGCCTGTCTCCTGGGGCTCATGCCATGGTGTGATCCTCTGTCCTTAAGTGAACGGGTCCTGTGACGTGCTTCTAACCCAACAGACCATGGCAAAGGTGACAGGATGTATGTGATTAAGTGAGTTTGTTACATCAAGACGTTAGCATCCATTTGGAGTGGAGTGTCTCTCCCCCTCGCTGGCTGTGAGGAAGCAAAAATCCATGTTGGGGAACCCTATATGGCAAGGAATCATGGGCAGCCTCTAGAAGCTAAGAGCAGCAAAACAATGAAAACAACAACAAACCAAGACCAAGAAAACATCCAAAGCTCTCAGACCCACAGGAGCAAAGAGCAGAATTCTACCAATAACCATGCAAGCAGGAAAGTGGACCTTTCTCCAGTTGAGGCAGAAGAATGAGAATCTAGTCCTGGACAGCATCCTGACTGAAACCCTGTGAGACCCTAAGGAGAGAATCTAGCCAAGCACTGCCTGACTCCTGAGCCCTAGAAACTGTGAGAAAATAAACTGTGTTACATTGTAAGTTCCCGAGTTCGCAGTATTATTGTTATGAAGCAACAGAGAATGAACACATCAGGTCAGATCAAGTCACTTCCCACTAAAATCGTCCAGAAGCCTCCCTCTTGTGGCCTCTAAGGCCGCACAGGATCTAGCCCCAAGGCCACCCTCTCCCGCATCTCCTACCTACCAACTACCCCTTTCCTCCTCCTTTGCCAGGTGCACTGGCTCTCCTGCTGTTTCTGGAGCATGCTAAGGCCTCTGTCCTTGCTTTTTCTTCAGTCTGGAATGCTCTTCTCCCTTATGTGCTTGCACGGCTTTCTCCCTCATGTTCACGTCAAATGGCACCTCCTCAGCCCTCCTTACCCAAGCAGTCTGAAATAACAATCCCTGTCACCAGCCCTCCCCTTTGACTGCGCTATTTTTTTCTGCAGCATTTTAGCAGTACTCAACATCATATATCTGTTTATTACCTGTCTCCAGCAGACCCACAAAGGTGTCTTGTGTACTACTGTTTTTCCAAATGCCCAGAGGAATCACTGGCACACTGAAGCAGCTTCACAAACACGTGCTTACTGCATGAGTCTCACCTCAAGCAATCTAACCTAGAGAAACGGGTGCCTGAAGGGGCACCTGCGTGGCTCAGTCAGTTAAGCATCTACCTTTGGCTCAAGTCATGATCTTAGGGTCCTGGAATCAGGTTCCCTGCTCATCGGGGAGTCTGCTTCTCCCTCTCCCTCTGCTTTTCCCTCCTCCCCTGCCCCTCCCCCTGGTTGTGCTTGCTCTTTCTAATAAATAAATAAAATCTTTTAAAAAAAAGCTGGGTGCATAGAGATAGATGATCAAGAATGTTCATTACAGGGGTGCCTGGGTGGCTCAGTGGGTTAAGCCGCTGCCTTCGGCTCAGGTCATGATCTCGGAGTCCTGGGATCGAGCCCCGTATCGGGCTCTCTGCTCAGCAGGGAGCCTGCTTCCTCCTCTCTCTCTGCCTGCCTCTCTGCCTGCTTGTGATCTCTCTATCAAATAAATAAATAAAATCTTTAAAAAAAAATGTTCATTACAGAATGAAATGTATATATATAAATTAATTAGAAAATAGGTGAAATAAGTTATGGTACATTTTACTATAGAATACAAAGGGACTGTTACAAAGAATGAGGAGCAATCTGTATGTACTGTCATTAAGCTGTATTTATGATATATGAAGTGGAATAAAAGAATATGTATCATATTTATGTTTTTAAAAAACCCTGTAAGTATAGAATATCAGAATATGTATTTGTATATACACTTACATTTATAACTGTGTAGAAAAAGGTTATAAAAGGCTACATGATAGCCTCTTAACAATGGTCATGTCTGGTGAGAGATGGAAGGGATGAAGGAATTTCACTCTTTATTATCTTTTTTGTATTGTTTCTCTTTCCTACATTATATGGTACTTCTTAATTACAGAGGTGATTTTTTTTTTTTTTTTTTTTTACAGGTACAAAAATGTCAAGAGTAGCTTTAAATGCCTACCAGACCTGCCTTCTCTCAGTGGAAGCCTCTCTGCATTCTCTCTCTGTGGGCACTAGGCAAGTAGGGGGAGGGGAAGCGTGGTGGAGGTGTGAAGGTGGAGGTGGGCTGGGGGCCTGGTTTTAAAATGCACACTGTTCAGGCCTGTCCCAGATATTTCAGTAAGACATTATTCTTGGTAAAGATCCCAAGAGATTCCCAGGATTTCTGAAGTTTGACAGTCACTGTTTAAACCGTAGGATTTGCTGCAGATTTTCATTTTTCTTTAAGTTATTTGCATTTAAAAATTTTTCTACAAAGACACTGCTCTGAAAAACTGCCTCCAAGCATAAGAATAAAGATAATTTGTAAGGGTCAAAGATCTCAACTTTGGCCAGTTGCTTTTGCATACATAATCTAATCTGAGACCTGTAGCAACCCTTTCAAATATGCGGGCAGGGATTACCATGTCCATTGAAGAGGGGAGGAAACTGAGGCTCAGGGAGTTGTGATTTGGCCCTGCCTGGCCTCAGGGCCAAGGAATGGTGACAAAGGCACGAAGTCCTGGGTTTGCTAGCTTTCATCCCAATATGTTCTGACCTTTGCACTTTTTTGACTCTGCAAAGCCTTTTATGGCTCTTTTGCTTAACAAGTAAACAATATTTCACAGTGAAAATGACCACTGTCCCTTCTCCTTTTTATGCTTAATCACAGGACACCCGAAGTTTATGTGTATTTTATTACTGCCTCTTCCTACTGCTTCTGCTTTACTCGAGAAGTGCCCAACCCTCACGTTGGGACGTTTCAAAATTTTGCCCTAAATTCCTATGTATTCCATCCCCAAGAGAAGATGAAGCATCTTCTGAGAGGCACAGGCCCTCGTCTGTCCCCCCAGTCCCTGTCCCACGCTACCTTCTTAATGCTCCTCTTGGTCCTGAGGCCCCAGCCCCTTCGCTCTGTTTTGATGACCTCGGCATCAGGGTAGAGCCTCTTGGTGAAGCACTGGTTCTGGCAGCGCTCACCGGCCGGGCACACCTGCGGGTGGCACTCGTACTGCAGCATGCGGTTCAGGCACTCCGACTCCAGGCCGCATGGGTTCTCATCGGCTGGCTTGCAGTTGCAGCGGGGAATCTCGGACAGGTCTGCAACGTGGATCTGTACCTTTCCTATCACTTTGTTAGCCTAGAAGACAAAGCCACAAAGAAGACCAAGAATCTCAGCGGAAACATCAGACACATCCAGGCGATTTCTGGCTCGGCAACTGCCTCACAGCATGACTCTGAGAAAGGCTCTTTCTATCTTGACCTCAATTTCCCCTGAAGAAGCTAAGAACAAGATGGCCTCTCCTGAGTGGAGAGAAATATCAAAGTCCGACGTAACCTCTCCCGTATTTATCCTGTGTATTTCTTCTACCAGTTGACGGAAATTTCCTAACTGAAGACAACTGTGGGCTTTTCTGGAGGAGCTAAACACCTACATTCTCATTTGGTTGCAGGACAACCCGGTCGGGCAAGGACAGGATTCCACACGGAACACGTTGCTCCCAGTCATGAGAGGGCTTATCAACGGCCTCCTCACACCCCAGCAGCCCCAGCTCCCATTTTATGCTTCCAACCAAAGCTCCCGGTCTGTTCAACCGAAGACTGGGGTGGTAAGTGGCAAAAGTTTTCATAAGTCAGAAAGTGCCTTCTAATAACTAAGACAGTAATGCGTTTCCGGTTGCCTGTCAAATACTAACGTTTTCATGGGCAGAGACTCACTTTGATGTGTTTGTAAGGAGGAGGTTTTCTTGAGTTTTTTTCAGTCTCTAGCGCTTCTCTGCTTTCTCTTTGTGCTTTCAATTCCTGGAAACGTTTTGCAGCTTCTTCCAGTGCTGCCAATAAAGACCAAACAAAGTATATAAACACTAAAAAGAAAACCCAAATAACTTCTAGGAGAGCAGCTTTACGTTGCCTTCTCAATGCCCTGGATCTGGCCTGAGGCTTTCTTTTTAAAATTATTCGGGAAATGACCATTTTCCACCAAGACACTGAAATAGGATATAACTCATTTAGGACTAAAGCTGGGCTCTGTGCAAGCTGCTGCCTCAAGGAAGAGGTCCTACTTCAATAATCAGACCCTTCCAAGTAAAGCAAAAAGAAAAAAAACAAAAGAACAAAATACCCCCAACCAACCAACCAAAAAACTCCAACTTTTTACATTGTACCAGATTTAAATTCATTTTACTCTTACCCAGAAAGCCAAACTTCCTGGAAACTTGTTGCAAAAACAGTTGTAAGGCTCTTCGTGAGAAGATTTTACTGCTCTTCTGTGGCAAGGGAGCTTCACTTGATTAAGAAGATTATTTCCAAAATAATCTCTATGTTTGTAGAAAGATCACAGAAGAAACTCCTTTCACACAGATGGCAGAGTCTACTATAATGAAATGTATTTCTCTAACTGACTGGATAAGATGTGGCTCTAACGTGACTGGATACGTAGGGGTGCTGGATCCTAACACCCGGTGAAAGTTCTCTACGCAAGTCAGGACATGGCGAGAAATCAACCGTGGAGTCTTAGTTTTGAGCCCCTATAAAACATCATTCAACTTACCTTTCTTGAAGGTCTTGTTAATACTAGTCTGTCCCTCAGCAAAGCTTTTATCTCCTTCAACATAAGGGAACACTCTGCCCTGGTGTACCCAATAGTAGTCATGAGAACCAAAGAAGAACACAGGGAAGTCCCCCAAGTCATGCTTAAGGCCCTGGATGTTCAGTGGCACAGACCTGGGATTGCAGATCTCTGCTGGCCACCATCTGAAAACAAAAGCAATTTCAGATCAAGAGAATGAACAAACCATACCTTTCTTTTACATGGCTGGTCCGGGGCAAGGGGGAGGTTTTTTACCTGCAATTTTCATTCAGTTTCTAAGGACAAAAAATTCCTTGTTTATCTTTAACCCTACCAAACCACACATCATTTAAAAACATATTGAGGGGCTTCTGGGTGGTTCAGTTGGTTAAGCATCTGCCTTCGGCTCTGGAATTGAGCCCCACATCAGACTCCCTGCTAAGCGGAGAGTCTGTTTCTCTTTCTCCTTCCCTCCATCTGCCCCTCCCCACTGCTTGTTTTCTCTCTCAAATAAATAAAATCTTAAAAAAAAAAACCATACGTATTAGTGAATTAGTGAACACAGACTAAATAAACTATACCCTAAACACCCAATCTAGTTTTTTCTTTAAAAATTAATACTTGATGTGGGGCACCTGGGTGGCTCAAATGGTTAAGCGTCTGCCTTAGGTTCAGGTTGTGATCCCAGGGTCCTGGGATCGAGCCCCATGTCGGGTTCCCTGCTCAGTGGGAAGCCTGCTTCTTCCTCTTGTTCTGCTCCTGCTCTCTTTCTCGATCTCAAATAAATAAATAAAATCTTTAAAAGAATAAAAAAATAAATACTTGATATAAAGAAATATGTATCATGAACATACAAGTTATAAAGCATAAAAACAGAATAACAATGAACTCACTACCCAGTTTAAGAATCAGAATTTACCATTTTTACTATTTATTATTTTTTACTATTCCAAACCCAACTTCAATCCTAAAAACATCATGTGTTCCTCCAAATTTGGCATTCTTAATACCAAGATTATCTTTCAAGGTATAAATGTTTATTTCTAGTAGTCAAGGGTATCATCTGAGAATAAACAGATGCTATAGTAAAGAATGACCACTTCCATTCAAACAAACATTTTCGGGGCGCCTGGGTAGCTCAGTGGGTTAAAGCCTCTGCCTTTCGCTCAGGTCATGATCCCAGGGTCCTGGGATCGAGCCCCACATCAGGCTCTCTGCTCTGCAGGGAGCCCTGCTTTCTCCTCTCTCTCTGCCTGCCTCTCTGCCTACTTGTGATCTCTGTCTGTCAAATAAATACATAAATTCTTTAAAAAAAAAAACAAGCATTTTCTTCTCTCTAATCAACCAGGGTAAATAATTTTTGGTCATATGTATGAGGTTTATGTAAGTATGTATTTCAGAATCGAATTCATCTCACATCATAATGTGAGATTTGGGGCAGGATGAAAACATAACGGTTTCATGCAATGACTGACTAGCACAACAATCACTAAATGAAATCTTTGTGAGGTACAGTTGACAATTTCCAACAATTGGGCCAGTGAAGGGTTAAGTTTTGGTAGTATGTAAAATAATCAGTATGAACAGTAAATACACGAAAACTTAAATTTTTTCCATCTTTTACTTTACAGAGGTCTGATAAAACCACTCACTTAATGAGTAATTATATTATTTAGAAGGTAAACAAAACATGATTACACTCCCAGATTTATTGTGCAGAACTTGAACATGTTTCATCTAAAAAGTACCCTACAGTCACCTAAGAATGAATTTTTTTTTTTAAGATTTTATTTATTTTTTTGTCAGAGAGAGAGAGAGAGAGAGCGTGAGAGGGAGCACAGGCAGATAGAGTGGCAGGCAGAGGCAGAGCGAGAAGCAGGCTCCCTGCTGAGCAAGGAGCCCGATGTGAGACTCGATCCCAGGACTCTGGGATCATGACCTGAGCCGAAGGCAGCCGCTTAACCAACTGAGCCACCCAGGCATCCCTAAGAATGAATTTTTAAAAAGATTTTATTTATTTATTTGACACAGAGAGAGAGCGCGTGCACAGGCAGAGCAGTAGGCAGAGGGAGAAGGAGAAGCAGGCTCCCCGCTGAGCAAGGAGCCCAGGAGGGCTTGATCCCAGAACTCAGGAATCATGACCTGAGCTGACAGCAGACACTTAACTGACTGAGCCACCCAGGCGGCCCTAAGAATTAATTTAAAATGTACGCAAGAGAGGCTTAGTTGGGTGGCTCCGTCAGTTAAGCAACTGACTCTTGATTTCAGTTCATGTCATGATCACAGGCTCACAAGATCAAGCCCCAAGTCAGGCTCTGAGCTCTGCCCCTGCGGCCCCCACCTCCAGGTCACGTGCTCACTTTTTCTCTCTTAAAAAAAAAAAGTGAGAGAGGAAAAAAAAGTAGGCAAGAGTCTGTGTTCAAATTATTAAAACACTATTTTGTGTAATCAGTATTTCAGGAAATGGTTATTTCTTAAGATTTTATTTATTTGAGAGAGCAGGAATGGGGGGAGCAGCAGAGCGAGAGGGAAAAGCAGACTCCCCACTAAGCAGAGAGCCCCATGCAGCCTGGGATCATGACCTGAGCCAAAGGCAGACGCTTAACTGACTGAGCCACCCAGGTGCCCCAGGAAATGGTTATTTCTAACTCATTTTAAGGTATTAAGTGTGTACACAATAACTACATTCACTAGGACAATTAGGAAAGGGCACACTTTCTGCCAGGGGTTGTTCTGGGTCCTCCTCACTTCCCCCAGGAGGCTTCGCATTGGGGTAACCAGTTATTGAAAAGAAACAGTTTCATGTGACCCAGCTGGGCCTGACTGGAAGAAAAAAATACATTAAGAATTAGTTCATGGGGAGGTGAACCATGAGACTATGGACTCTGAAAAACAACCTGAGGGTTTTGAAGGGGCAGGGGGTGGGAGGTTGGGGGAACCAGGTCGTGGGTATTAGGGAGGGCACGTATTGCATGGAGCACTGGATGTGGTGCAAAAACAATGAATACTGTTACGCGGAAAAAAAAAAAAAGAATTAGTTCATGGATGGGAGTCTTTGCAAAACATGTGAAAATAACCTGACCTGCATATAGAATCTCACTGAGCTATGAACCCCAATGAGAGCACTACTTTGGGCTTTTTAAAAATGTAATGTGATTAAAATGTAAGTAAGAAAATTAAATTGCAGATACTTTCATATTCATAACTTTTTATAAAGGAAATATGTAATGTACACCATGGTGACCACAGTTCATAATACTGGATTGTATACATGAAAGTAGCTAAGTGAGTAGACCTTAAAAAAGTTCTTATCATATCTCTTCAGAGACTGTTGCCATGGAGGCATCATTTCAAAGGCATCTTCAAGCTATTAGAGCCACCTGTTTTTTGTTTTCTGTTTTACTTTTACTTTGAGGCAAAATTCACCATTTTAAGCATTTTAAGTTGTATATACTATGGTTGTTAGTACATTTGCAATGCTGTGCAACCCATGAGCATTCACCACCTACACCCACCTACCTTGGCCCTTGGCAACCACTAATCTGCTTTCTGTCCCTAATGATTTGCCTAATTTGGTCATTTCATATAAATGGAATTGTTCAATAACAACAACAAAAAGTTCTTATTACAAGAAAAAAAAAATTCTGTAACTATGTGTGCTGCTTAACTAGACTTGTTGTGGTGATGATTTCGAAACATATGCAAATACTGAATCAACCTGAAACTAATATGTTATGTCAGTTATATCTCAAAAAAAAAAAAACAACAACAAACCCAAAACCCAAAAAAGGAATTTAAAAAAGTAGACATTCTGAAATTTATGGGAAGACCTGAAGGCTTCTTACACTGTTTTAGATATTTCTTATATAGGAATGTTTTATCAATTGTCAAACTCACACCCCTTCCCACCCTGGAAAGATATATTTTTAATTATAAAAAGCAGTTGTGATTAAAAATTAAAACAATGCAGAAATGTATAATAGAAAATTTGAAAATGCCTCCCTAATCTTATGCCTCATACTTTAACATTAGATGTATTTCCTTCTGGGTCTGAAAAAAAACCATATCTACATCTACAATTTTTAAAAACATACAAACACATGGAACGATAATGTATACGCTATTTAACATGCTCTCTAAAATCAACTATATATCGTGGATATCATCTCATGTTACTACAGAGACCAGCATTATCCTCTTATGGTTATGGATATGTTGTAATTTATTTGACAAATCCCTCACTGACTGGGCATTTGGGTTATTTCAAATTTTTGCAATTAAAAATAATATTGCAGGGCGCCTGGGTTGCTCATTGGGTTAAAGCCTCTGCCTTTGGCTCAGGTCATGATCTCAGGGTCCTGGGATTGAGTCAAGCTGTCTACTCAGGAGGGAGCCTGTTTCCTTCTCTCTCTCTGCCTGCCTCTCTGCCTACATGTGATCTCCCTCTGTCAAATAAATAAATAAAATAAAATAAAGAATACTGCAATGAACACTCCTATAAATACATTTTTGCCTCCTTGTCCAATTTTTTTCCCTTAAATTCCTTGAAGGGGAAGTGCTAAGTCAAAGCACAGACACAGTTATAGTTTTAATGTGATGCCAGACTGCCCTATTGGGGGGGGGGCACTCCTTTCCCTATGCCCTCCCTAGCCAAAAAATTATTACTCTTAAATCTTTGCCAATCTGTTAATTGAAGAAAAAAAAAAAAAAACCTTTTTGTTTTTAATGCACACTTATTTCTAGTAAGGCTCAACATTTTTTTTTAAAGATTTTATTTATTTGAAGTGCGGAGTGAGGAGAGGGGAGGGGCAGAAGGAGAAGCAGCAGCAATCTCCCCACTGAGCAGGGAGATCAATGTGGGGCTCCATGCGGGACTCCTGTGGGACTTGAGACGAAGGCAGCCGCTTAACTGACTGAACCACCCACGTGCCCTGAGGGTCAGCAATTTTTACATGTTTATTTTCTCTTTGCTATTCTTTGGCAAACTGGCTCTTTCCCTTCTTTGTCTCTGTTCTTGTTAAGGTATTTGTCTTTTCTTATTAAAGTATAAGTGCAAATTTTTTACTTTGGCTTAACATTTGCCTTTCAAAACTTCCTATCTTTTGCCAGAAGTATAAAATTGTTTATGTATTTAACTGCCACTTTTTTTTGGGCGCGGGGAACTTTGAGGTTTTCTGTCATATGTTAAAAAAAATAGTGTGTATGGGGGATTGCTTCTCAACCTCAAGGCCCCTTATCTCAGCTAAAAACAAAATTTTTAAAGTTAAATAGGTAAGCAAGCAGAGGTATTTAAAACAGAGAAAATGACATAGCCATTGCTAAAATAGTACAGTATGTTTGCTATATATATAATATATAATATATATATAGAAATATATAAAATCTATTTCTATAGAAATATATTTTACTTAGTATTCTAATTGAATAGTAGATTCTCATTGTGCTCTCTTGAATAGTATCTATTAGTAAAATGATAAATGTGCCTCAAAATGTAAAATGTGGAGTTTTTTAAAAAATAAATCGCTATTCCTGCTCAGTGGAGGCTTGCTAAGGAGAGCGTTCTTAAAAGGAGAAAGTTTTTTGAAAATAATGACAATCACACATTCTTAGTCTTAAGAACTAAAAGCTCTTAATGAAATAATTTCTCTCTTTAAATTCTAAAAAGCTCTCTCCTTGCATGCAGTTTAAAGCTTCTAGCAGGAACTAAAATGGGAAAAGAGAGCTATTTTGGCCAGGATATAAAGTCTTCATTTTATGAGAAATCAATATGAATGTATTAGGACACAAAGAAAACATCTTCCCTACTATCTACATAAGACATTTTATTCCAAAATCTAGTAGTACATAGTTCATTAGTATAAAATAACTTACAGAACATAAAAACAAGCCAACCAACCAATCAAAAAACAACAACAACAACTAACCTCCCAGTCCTCTAAAAACTAACTCAAAACAGGTTTCTCTTGTTTCTTTTTTTTTTTTTTTAAGGAAGTGGCTCTGTGCTGTTCTACCTATCTCCTTGCCAGTTTGTATACAGATTATGAACACGTGTGTCTGAACAATGATTGAATACTTCCTCTTTGTCCTTGGAAAAACTTGCCTGTAATTTCCCAATTTGACCCAAACAATCTGCTTGTAATGGAGCTTCTTGCCAGCTTTACAGTCATTACAGTTCCAGCAGCCTTCTGGCATTTCTATGCTCAGGCATTCCGGGTGGAAGGAAGCTGGACACGATTCACAGCAGAGCAATCTTCCACCTTGAAACAAATAAACAGTCTTAATAACTGAGAAAAGAGGAAAGAGAAAAAGAAAGAGGAAAGAGAAAGTTATCTTTTAAGTGCATTAACTTTGATTCAAATTGGGGGAAAATAAAGGGACTGAGTCAGGTCTATAGTAATGGATTAAAATAGAAAGCAAATGAACAGATTTAGCTATTTCCAGTCCTTTTCAGTGCTGCATGTCCAGAGACTCAAAGCTTCTGAGGAGGATGAAAAACATTACTGAGGTCTTTACCCCTCAGAAAGGTGGGCAGTTGAGGTATCAGTTTAGCAGGCAGCTAAAACTTTTAACAGATGACATAACAAATGCATACAATCTTTAGACTGAACAGATTTGAGAGCAGATTTTCAAAGAAATATGTAGCAACTTACTTTCTTTTCTCCTTGGGAGCTAAGAAAGCAAGCAGTGGTCATCTTCATATTTTAATCCAGTACCACAGTTAACTGAATCCCTTTATAATAAAATTAGCAAGAATGAAGATAGCCAATAGGTTGACCGGTACTTTTTTCTTTCCCCATAAAAGAATGCAAAAAAGCAAAGGATTGTACTTTCTCAAATTGGTGATTACATTAACATTTCCCTTTCCAGTAAAAATAAAGTCAAACAAGCTATACAGCAGTGGTTTGCAACTTTTCATCACCAAGGATCCCCTTTCCCTTCCTCAGGGACTCATGTTTTTTTTAATATTTTATCAAAAAAACAAACAAAAAAATAACAGCAGCAAAAAGTAAAAAAACCCCACAAAACCCAAAAAACAAAAAGCCAACCCAAACAAACAAACAAACAAAAAAACCAGAATCAAAACCCCTGTTAAAGGTAACAATTTCTCCTGTTTTTATTAACCAAAGAAATATATAACTGCCAATCAGAGGTTCTGATCCCAATAGTAAAATTAGTCTTATCACATTAAGTTGTTCAAATCATAGCCAAATATAAAGAAACGTATGCAGCCTTATTTTGCCCAAATGTGTGATTCTGTTAGATTTTCTGAAATATTAAACATAGTTCAAAAATTGTTTACATAACTTTTTCTGACTTCATATTGAGAACCACTGCTTTATAGCATAAAACTAAGTAAATGTCACTGTAGAATGAAGTACCACACTCAAGGAGATCCCTCTCCTAGCAAAATCCTCTCCTTTGAAATACACAAAATGATCTCTGGATTAAGACCAAAACAAGTGCAGCAAACAAAACAAAAGAATATTTTTAAGTGCAAAGAAATAAAAGAGATTTGGGGGGAGGTTAGCTATTTCTAACAGGTATTTCAACAAGTGACAGAGAAGGATGTTAACCACTGAAGATAAAATATAACATAGACATTTACGAAAAAAAAAAAATTAATTCTATTGGAAAATCAGGTCCGTAACCCATGAATATACTGAGATTTAAAATCTCATAAGCAAAAGGTTAAGAGCCCTCTACACAACTTTATGAAATCACAGCTCCAACCTTTTGAGGGTTTGCTATCAATTTTCCAGAAAATCTTTTCTTCCTGTAGACTTTCAAACATCTAACTGATTAACAAAAAACAAAAAGAAAATCTATATACAATCAGGGATGAAATAAATTACTATATTTCCTCTGCTTAAAAGCTTTTGCTTTAATCATTGAGATTTTTTTCCCTTCGCAGTTTCAATATGGATTCATTGTTCCAATTCTCCAAGCTACAGATTAGCTGCCTGAATGCTCTTAGCCTAGGTAGGGAATTCTGTTAAATTTCAAGTAAAAATGAGATAACTGACTTCTCCACCAGAAAGGAATGACCAGTAGGGAAAGCAGTCTTAGCAAACCGCTTTAGAGTACATGTGATTATTAGAGCTGATGTAGAAAAGTCAGCCTGGCCATTTTTTAACATAATGGAATAGTCCTTAATTAAAATTAAAACTTAAAAGTCTTATTTCAGAGGAAATACAGACCCAGAATCGTCAATGAAAATCACCATGATTTTTAGACAAAAAATACACAAGAAAAATAGAAAAATGAAAATATGAACAATCCACCTTGGTGCTATGCAAGAAAACTGCTTTAGGATGCAAGAAGTAAGACATGGTTCAAGCTAAGCAAAGAGAGGGCTCAAAATAATTTCAATTCATGTCAAGGTCAATACTGAGTACTGAAAACAACGTAAGAAACAATTGAATTAATCTAATCTTATAAAGGAGCCAGTAGGAAACAAGGCATTTCCCAAAATGAATGCCTCGAGTAGTCTAATTTTATTGCATTATGGAGTTAGTCAGACCGCTCTGTCCATCTTTGTTTTAGAAGTAGGTGGTATCACCAGTCAGGTGACATCCTCTGACTTCAACGGAAAAGAAACAAACAAGCAAGCAAGCAAGCCAATACTCTCTCCGAGCTACTTCTCCACAGGTTCTAGTCACCCTGTTTAGTTAGTTGTATTTTCTTTTAGTCATGGGTTGCCATTTCAGATGTCTGACAAAGAAAAAAGACACATCAAGCAGGCAACACAATGAATGAAAAAAAATTTATTTCAAATATACCCAGTCTATTAGGTGTGTATTAATTTTTCTTTAAAGATTCTGAACCTGGACCCCAGATCATAAAGGGAATGTATACAGGAAAAGGCCTTCACCTTCGAGATAATTCATTTTACCCTCTGGGATAATAACTCCCTCAGTAATACAGTACTGTTAAATTACTTTTTCCCTGTGTTACAAAGCGGCTATGTAAAGCTAAATACAAGGAATGGGTTTCTTCTACAGGTTAAATTAACTGGGAGAATAGAAATATACATTTAGCTCTTGGTTCTCTGTAGATAAATTATCCATAAGCAATTCTTCAGTTGAGCTGGGTCGCCTTTCAATACCCATTTGGGTCAATCTCCCCAGACTCCTAAGAGAAGGGCAACAAGTTTTCATAGCATCTTAATAAAAACATTTAAGAAACAAAAGGACAGCATAGACCCTAAAATCAAAATTTTAAGTATCAATTTCTTGGTCTCCCTCTTTTAATAACCTACCCTCGTTTTTTAGCTCAAAGTTCAGAACAATTTACGTCACGTATATTCTTTTCTAACATGAATGGTAGTTCTATATCAGGCAGAAGAGAAAGAGCCTTTGGAATATCTTTCTATATATAAAGCAAAATCCTAGCTTTTCAATTTTAATAACCCACAGATATATGGAATGTGTGAGAATTTATTCAAGGAGAAGAGTAAGTAGGTAAGAATTTGTAATAATGGAATTATTTTAAGCCCTTTTTAATAATGTTGCAGCCATATGAAGACACAGTCACAACCACCAAGGTAGAATTTACCAAAAGCAACAGATGGTGCTTGACAGGCATACATTTCCCCCCTTCATTTAAAGAGAAGAAAAAAAAAAAAAGAAAAAAAAAGGAAATGCAAAAATAAAAGAGATAAACTATTTTGATTATTACCTTTCTCACATTTCTTTTTGGAAGCTGACGAAGAAGGAATCATAGGTAATTTCATCAACTCTGCACGATTTGATTCATTCAGTAGGTAGTGGGACTTATAGGCATATGAACTGAACATGGGGTCTGAATGGTCCTGAACTATCAGCCCTATACGAAACAAACAGAAAGAGATGAGCTGCAATGAAACTACCCATGATTCCATGAGGGAAAAAAAATAAACCAACACCTATTACGTAGCTGTGCTAAAAGTTGGGGGTGGGGGAAAGAGAATATGAAGAAAAAGAAAGATCAGACGGAAGAGTGTTGCCAGAATTGTTTAAGGGAGTTTGAGCTACTCAGTGCCTTATCCCTTAAAAACCTACACAACCAGAAGAAAACTGCAAGTTAATTTGGAGATATAAACTGCATCTGACGTCATACTTAAAACCCCCTATGGAAGACAAAGCTACATTCCTTAATATTTACAAGTACTATGATGACAATCCAAAGAAATAAAATGACATATCACCTAATAGCAAATAAGAGTTATTTACATAACATGGTAGAGACACTGATCCACCTTCAACGTATCAAGTAATACCAAAAGGCAGAACTGAGTCTCTCCTGTTCTCTAGTCATATCTTGAGATAATCTCAAATAAATTCTAGCTTTCTCTGCCAGATAATGAAGCTGTTCTCTATCAGCATGATACATGATTCTAAAGGAGCCACAATTTGTTGAACTTCACTAAGGTAACGCAAACCATTTACACTTTTTCCCTGCCATGATATAAAGTGATAACCAACCCAAGGGTTTATTAAGACAGTTCTTCTGATCTACCAATCCAGCTATCCTATTTGGAGGAAAATAGAAGATCTGCTCTAACCCACTTGTGACACCCACTTCTCCGCTCCCTCCCATCCACTTACCCTTTGCTGAGTTCATTACAGGCCAATCCTAAACCTAAGGAAGTGAGACCAGGGAACATTTCTGTTTCATGATTAGACAGTTTACAGTGATCTGGACTTCACAATACAGATCATGACAGCAGTTTTATAGAGATCATTTTGAGAAGAGGTAAGAGTTTTGTTTTTCAAGGGGTTGCCATTTACTTTTTGCCATGGGGGCTACCCTACACTGAGAAAGATTTAAGAAACATCTCCGACCTGGAGGACAGAATGGAACTTAAAATTGCTAACTGGTAATAGCATAAAAGTCTTCTAAAAAAGGTTATATAATGTCAAATGAATTTTATGCATTTAATAGAGAGAAGCAGTGTAGTGGAAAAAACAGTGGGACTGAAATGAGAAAGACAGGGTGCAAATGTTAGTCCCTCTATTTAAACTTCTGCGACCTTCAGGTAAATGATGTAATCTGTGCTTCAGTGTTCTCATCCACATAAAATGGGGAAATAACTCCTTAAGGCAACTGTGACAGTTCAGTCGGATTGCATATCCAGTAGAGTTTGATTTACAGATACCAAAAAAATTGTTAGTATTTATTAAAATGAAAAGAAAGCCCTAATCTACCTTCTCCATTATAAATTACCATTACAAAGGAAGGGAGAGAATGTTAAGTAACTTGATTTTACAACACCCACCACTGCCACCATCCCCTACCTGCCCACATTGGAAAGAATCCCTACAGGATGTATGTACACTACACTGAAATATGACTGAACATTCTTCTATGGCACCATGAGGGTCAGGGGAGGAGCAATGTTCCTCTGAACCTTGAAATATTTCTAAAAACATTTCTAGATATTTATTCAGTCCTTAAGAATTAGCTGAATGATTTTAAACAACCAATAACCATGAACTAAGAAAAATCCTTTGTGAGGAGGGCAAAACTCCACATAAGGCAAGAAACAAAAGCAAAACAAAGTTTTCTAATACCAAAACATAGACAATTAAAGCCTCCTTTTATATGTGTGGATTTATACAATCAGATGTCTCTCTTTTTTTTTTTTTTAAGGAGACCTCTGTAAAAACTGACGAGAGAACACATATTATTTACTTGTAAAAACTGTTGACTTAGCCTTCTCAAATCACAACATCTGATCTATTTAGAATAAATTTCTATAAACTGCTGGAAAGGAAAATGAAAGTTTCTCTTTACTGTACAAAGTTTCATAGTTAAAATATTTGAGAATTAAATAATCTTGATTACAGAGGCATTTAAATACAGTATATCTTTCAGATATCTGTCAAATTGGTAAGATACAAATACAGATCCTGTAAAACATGAGTTTTCCCCTCATTTGCATTACTTCAAGCTTTTAATCATGGCATTTAAGTTAAACTTATAATGGTTAGTCTCTACAAAACTAGGCTCCTTGACAAAGGGCCATTTTTCTGCCTATCTTTAATTGAAAAAAACAGTTTTAAATGTTTCTCAATTGTTGAATGAAAAGAAAGAAGTGGTTAATATACTTGATGGTACTTGATTCAGAACGTACTCCAAGTAAGCCAACATGATAATTATAAAGTTGACACTTAAAATGTTGGCTCAGGGGTGCCTAGGTAGCCCAGTCAGTTAAGTGGCTGCCCTGGGATCGAGCCCCACATCTGGCTCCCTGCTTGGAGAGCCTGCTTCTCCCTCTGCCTCCCTACCCCTCTGCTCATGTGCACTCTCCCTCACTCTCTTGCTGTTGCTCTCTCTCAAATATATTTAATTTAATAAATAAAATGTTGGCTCAGTTACACACTCTCTAGCATGAGCCCTAGTAAAAGCAAGTAATATTAAGTGCCCAGCAACAAAGAATAAAACATTTACAAGGCGATAACAGACCATGTTATCACTGACATTCATCTGTGTAAAGTCTCTAAAGCTAGCCATTCAGTTGATAACTCACTATTTCCAAACTACCATTACTTTCTTGGGCATGGGGAGACCGTAAAGACATCAGAGGTGACTTTTTATTTTTCTGGATGATTTTGAATCCTTTCTGCCACCTATTATAATGTGGCACAAAACATTTCAGACCTACTCCTCCAGGTAACAGCCAGGTTTCAGAGCAGAATACAACTGTTCTGGCTCTGCTAAAGAAAGACACAATGTTCCCTCTCTAATGGGAGACAGCTCCAAGTGCTCACCACAAACTCTGGCAAACTGAAGGCTGTACATACAATGGACTCAGCTGGCTGCCAAAAGGGCTGCCACTTACTTAATCTTTTACTACCAACCTCCTCTGGCTTTTTTTTTTTTTTTTAAACAAAAGACACAAAACCAAAACAACTCAAGATCTGTCACACTACCTAAATTCTATTTTAAAATACTTTAGAGTACTTTCACCAAATTAAAAGAACTATCTCCTAAAGCCAAAAAACAAACAAAACCAAATAAAACCAAAACCAAACCAAACACCTCATCTTCAGTTTAGTCTAAATATAATTTAATAAGCTTGATACACCTTGAAGTCCTTTCAATTATTTCACCACTAGGGTACGTTCAGAAAATGTGGCACTTGTATTTAAAAAAACAAACAACCAAAAACAAAAACAAACCAAACTGCATTAGGGGATATTCATTAATTTCTAAAATGTTTAATAAATACTAGAAGTTGTTTTATTATAATACAGCTGAGATACTCTGTAAAACTGAATATTCTGTAATATATTCAACTAAAGAAATTCTATTTTATATTTTTCACAAACTCAAGTTCACTGACCCCCTCAGGGACACAATATTGCTCTTACTTGGTCAGTCTCTTGGCATACTTAAATATCAACAGGTGGCAAGTAAGAAAGCTTGTGTTGCTGGCTCTTAGCTACCACCGCCACATATGCTGTCTTGGCTGTATCCCATCAGGCCTTCCTCAATGCCAGACCAAAATATGATAAAATACAACATAAACAATTAAAAAATAAATGTGCTCCTCTTGCCTTCCAAGTGAAATTTCAATCAGGCAAAAACTCTGGATTAAAGAATATGACATGGAAAGAGTCTACTTTGAATAGAATTGTTTGCAGAAGGGAATAGATTAATCTTTTGATGCTCCATACAGAAACATTAAGAGCTTATCTGTAATTCTAAATTATTCAAAAAATGCAGACATTAGTTTAGAGAAGAATTAATGTTCTAACAATTTGAACGTTTAATGTTACAAAAGGGACTACTGAAAAGTGTTACTCTCTCAGGGATATTACTGAAAGTCTAGTTTGATGGAGAAATATGCCAATGAACTCAAAGAAAGAAGGGGAAAGGACTGACACTCACCTCTCGCACAAACGAAACAAAAGCCTACATTTATGGCAGAGGAAGAACTGCTGCTCCGTTTGGAATGATTACTACAGATGAGCACGCAGGAGGACACAAATACGCTGCCAGCAGCAATGCAAGCATCTCCAGAGTGATAGGCTACTGGACATCTCAAACACCGCATCATGCGACCTGTTTAAAGACAAACCAGAAAAAACAAAATCTACATAATTAGGAATCCTCTGGCTATAAATGAGCTTTTTGGATCTGGGCTCTTTTGGGTTCCATGTGATGATGCTGTTACGGTAAGATAATATTTTTCTCCATACATGTGGCTCTGTTATTCCTATGCAGGACCCTAAACGCAGGACCCATTGAGAGATCTCTCAAAGAAAAACTTGTTTGCTCCAGGGCTGGAGAGATGGTGGTCTCAGTATCACCTGTGAAAGAAATTTTCAAGGGTAACTTTGAATGTATGGAATTTTCTTCTCATGATCTGAATTAGAACCTAATCTCTACTTACCGTGCTATTGTGGCTGAGCGGTTATATCTACAGATGCAGAGATGGATAATTACCTAATACTCTTCAAAATGATGTGCTTATTATTAGCTACTGCACTTGAAAAAAAACCTTAGTCCCCCTTTTTAACTCTGTTTTACCTTTACTTGCTTTGTAGATATCTTTCTCCATGGAACAGGCAGAGCAGCAGTGCTGAGGACAGCGGAACCCTTTTGATTCGAAGATGGCAGTGGGGAATTTGCGGACACAGGCTTCATGATAAAATTTCCCACAAGCGCCAACAGAACAACGCTTCACATCTGTACCAGACACTTTACATGAAAAACAAGGGTGCTGTCCTGAAAAATTGGTTGAGAAAACACAGATTAAATAAAGCGTATTCTTTTTAAATAGAAACAGCAAATGACATCAAAGAGCTACTCCCCAAAGAGACGGTACTATTATTTGTAAGAATTTCACATACAAAAAAAAGGTATTGAAAAATAAGTCGCTAAATTAAAAGGTTATTTATTTTAATTCATTTTTAATTTTAATTTTAGTTAATATACAGTGCAATACTGGTTTCTGGAGAATTCAGTGATTCATCACTTACATGCAACACCCAGTGCTCATTATAAAAACTGCCCTCTTTAATACCCATCACCCATCTAGCCTATTCCCCACCGCCTCTCTCCATCACCCAGCAGTTTATTCTCTATAGTTAAGAGTCATTTATGGCTTGTTTCCCTCTCTCTTTTTAGTTTTCCCCCTTCCCATATGTTTATCTGTTTCCATACTTAAATTCCTCACAAGTGACAGTATTTGTCTTTCTCTTATTTCACGTACCATAATACACTCTACCTCCATCCACATCCTTGCAAATGGCCAGATTTCACTCTTTTTGATGGCTGAATAATATTCCATTACACACACACACACCACATCTTCTTTATCCACTCATCAGTTGATGGACATTTGGGCTCTCTCCATAGTTGGGCTATTGTTGAAAATGCTGCTATACACATTGGGTGCACGTATCCCTTCAAATCTGTATTTTTGTATCCTTTGGGTAAATACCTAGTAGTACAATTGCTGGATCATAGGGTAGTTCTAGTTTTAACTTTGTTAGGAACCTCCAAACTGTTCTCCGGACTGGCTGCACCAGTTTGCATCCTAACAAGAGGGTTACCCTTTCTCTGCATCCTTGCCAACATCTGTTGTCTCTTGTGTTATTAATTTGTGGTATCTCATAGTGGTTTTGATTTGTATTTCCCTGATGATGAGTGATGTTGAACATCTTTTCATGTGTCTGTTAGCCATCTGGATGTATTCTTTGGAAAAGTGTCTATTCATGTCTTCTGCCCATTTATTAAATGGATTCTTTGTTTTGGGTGTGAGTTTGATAAGTTCTTTATGGATTTTGGATACTAACCTTCTATCAGCTATATCATTTGAAAATATCTTCTCCTATTTAATAGGCTGCTTTTTAGTTTTGTTGATGGTTTCCTTCACTGTGCAAAAGATCTTTATCTTGATAAACTCCCAATAGCTCATTCTTGCTTTTGTTTCCCTTGCCTATGGCAACATGTCCAATAAGAAGTCGCTAAGGCTGTGTTCAAAGAGGTTTCTACCTGTGTTTTCCTTTAGGATTTCTATGGTTTCCTGTCTCACACTTAAGTCTTTCATCAATTTTGAATTTATTTTTGTGTATGATGTATGAAGCAGTCCAGTTTCATTCTTTTGCATGTGGCTGTCCAGTCTGCCCAACACCATTTGTTGAAGAGACTGTCTTTTTTCTACTGGACACTCTTAACTGCTTTGTTGAAGATCAGTTGACCATACAGTTTGTGGGTCCATATCTGGGTTCTCCGTTCTGTTCCACTGATCTATGTGTCTGTTTTGGTGCCAGCACCACACTGTTCTGGCGACCACAGCTTTGTAATAGAGCTTGAAGTCCAGAATTGTGAGGCTTTCAGGATTGCTTTGGCTATTTGGGTCTTCTGTGGTTCCACACACATTTTAGGACTGCTTGTTCCAGCACTGAGAAAAATCCTGGTGGCATTCTGACAGGGACTGCATTAAATGTATAGATTGTTTTCGGTGGTACAGAAATTTTAATGATGTTTTTTCTTCCAATCCATGAGCATGGAATGCTTCAGGAGTTATTTAATAAATTTGGCTAGAATAATTGATTTGCTAGAATAATTGATCTGCTAGAATAACTGATCATCAATTTGGAGATAAGGCACTAAAAAAAAAAAATTTAGATCTTCACTTCTCACTCAATAATAAAATTAATCCATAGGAAACCCAGAACAGAATTTTTCAACATATGGGAGGTGAGAGTGGGAAGGTCTTCCCAACCAAGAATAAGTAAAAGAAATTACCAAAGACAAGACAGATTCCATTAGTCACTTACAATTTCCATATGTAAAAAAGACATAAAACGAAAACTCATAATCCTAATGTAAAACAGAAAATCACAACTGCACATCTTATTCAAACTGTAGTAAATCAAGAACAAAGAGAACAAAGAAAAATAAAATTTATTTATTAAAACAAATATTAATAATACCCACAGAAAAGACAATGAATGACCTTCTAAGAAGCAACAATAAGACTGAGAGCTGATAGCAAGGGAAAAATGGAAGTCAGAAAACAATGGGACATTATCTCTAAAGGGCTGAAAGAAAACTGTTACTAAGCCAGCATTTTATATCCAATAAAAGCACTCTTCAAGAATGAAGTGAAATTAATATACATTGGGAAGGATTAAAAAACCCAACAGTTGTTTTTTTGAAAAAGATCAATAAAACTGATATCTCTGGCAAGAGTGACTAATAAAGGGAGAAAAGGCAACAATATTAACAATATGAGAAATGGTACATCACTACAAATCCTACAACTATTAAAAAAACAAAAGGATATCACTACATTTTTATCAACAAATTTGAAAATTTACATGAACGGACAGATTCTTAAAAATGCATAATTACCAACACCCATGAATAGTTTTATAAATTATTTAAAAATTGAACCTATAATTAAAAGCCTTCCTACAAAGAAAACTTTAAGCTCAGAAGGTTCTACAATCTGCCAAACATTTAAAGCTAGAAATAATGTCAATTAGAATAGAACAGGTAAAAAAAGAAGAAACAGGGCAGATGTGGAAAAATACATCACATATGGAGAAAATATATGCAACAAACAAGCAAAGGTAACTGAACAAGATTTATACAGAACTATGAATCAATATAGAAACAGAACAGCCTAATAAAAAAGTGGGCAGGAGTGCCTCGCTGGCTCAGACAGTATAGCATGTGACTCTTGATCTTGGGTGGTGAGTTCAAGCCCCACATTGAGCCAGAGGGCTTACTTAAGAATGACTGACTGACTAAATAAATAAATAAAGTGGGCAGAATATGAAGAGGCAGTTTACAGAAAGCAGAAAGACAAACAGCCAATAAACATGTGAAAAAAAAAAAAAAAACCCTCAACTTCACTAGTAATCAGATAAATACTAATTAAACCCAAGTAACATTTTAAAAATTCATCAAACAAGAAAAAAGTGACGATACAAACTGTGGATGGAGTACAGGAAACAGGTGTTCTGATATATTGCTAGTAGGAGTTCAGGTTGGAAGGAACTATCTTATAAAGCTACAGGGCAGTATCCATCAATTGTCCACTCACTTTCTGTGACCTAGAAGTTCTGTTTTTGCTGTCTATGTCAGGGAAGACTTGTACATGTAAAAGCAAGTTGACTGAAGCACTGTTTGTAAGTGCAAAGAACTGAAAGCAACTCGAATGTCCTTCAATAGGAGAATAGTAATATATTCATAGAACTGTAATATATGCATACTATGGAACACTATGTAGTAAATTAAATAGAACATATTTGTATTGACATAAAAAGAGCTCCAAGATAGTGAAAAAAGCAAGCTGCAGAACAATTAATACATTTTTGTTACCATACACACAAAAATGTTACATAAGTATGTGTAGGTGTGTGTGGGTGTACACACACCTGCTTGAACTATAATTATAACATTTTCTTAAGATGGTATTTATATACTATTTGTCTAATTAGAAATAAATTTAAAATACTAACAAATGCAAGGAACACCTTTACTACCACAATACACAAATAGACAAACCATGAACTGATCATTCACTAGAGACTCAATAAAGATACAGAAAAAAATGCTTAGTTGTAAACAAAGAACTGCAAATTGTAACATTTTTGTTATTTCTTTTGTTACTCTTTGAAGGTAATTGTCTTTTCTGTGGGTGATTTTCTGCCTCTTTTATTAGGATAGGAGTTTTCACTGTGTGTCCATTTTACGTACAGAATTTTAAGTGATTATTTACTGGCTATTTGGATATCATCTTTTGGAAAGTGTTCAAGTCTTTTGCCCATTTTTCTTATAATGCTATAAAAAATCTGAAAAAAATGGAATAGTTTTTTTCTGTTAATTAAATAGTTTTATGTTTTGATTTTCTACAGAAAGATTTTATTTTGGAAGTACCTGACCTTTACAAATTGACTGAATTATAAAAATTCTTTAAAGGGGTGCCTGGCTGGCTCAGACAGTTAAGAATCTGCCTTTGGCTCAGGTAATGATCCTAGAGTCTCTTATCCAGAGCTCCATATGGGGAGTCTGCTTTTCCCTCTGCTCCTCACCCTGCTCTTGTGCTCTCTCTAACAAATAAATAAATAAAATCTTAAAAAAAAAAAATTCTTTAAAGTTAGTACTTACAATTTTGATGTTCAAATATGTATCTTTTAAACTGGATTTGTTGTAAATAAAGTATGGTAAGGTTTTTTGGTTGTTGTCTTGTTACAAATCTATAATTTCAAATTTATATTAACATGTATGTATATATGAAAGTGATAGTATTATTTTTAAAATAACTGAGAAATTTAAAAAATTTTAAAGGTTAAACTTTGCCAAAATGATTAAATTGCCCTGTGTAAAAAAAAAAAAGAAAAAAAAAAGGGGGCTTTTATTTGCACAATAATCAAAATAGGTCTAATATAAACAAAAACTGTTATAACCCGTGACACTGTTATACTAATAGCTCAACTATCAAACCCCTTTAAGACTTAAGTTTAGAGCCCTAGGATATGAGTGCTTCTAATATCCTCCCTTCTCAGTAGGACAGGGTCTTCATTTATAATAATTAATAAGTAAACTTGATTATTATACATTTATTCACAAGGTCAAATGAAAGTGCTTTCTTTCCAAAAATCACATTTGTCTTAAACAATAAGTAATAGTATAAGGGGCTCCTGGGTGGTTCAGTGGGTTAAAGCCTCTGCCTTTGGCTCAGGTCACAATCTCAGGGTCCTGGGATCGAGACCCACATCGGGCTCTCTGCTCAGCAGGGAGCCTGCTTCCTCCTCTTTCTCTGCCTGCCTCTCTGCCTACTTGTGATCTCTGTCTGTCAAATAAATAAATAAATAAATAAATCTATCTAAAAAAAAAAAAAGTAATAGTATAAGAACTTACTAGGCATGTATCCTATAATATTTTCTACAGGCAAAGGATCTGTCTTTTGATAAACAGAAGAAAACTTCCTAAATGATCTTAAACGATGGTTTGAAACTTTTACTCCTAATCTGTTAGAAAGATAACAAATTAGTATCAAAGTAATTTTCATGTAATAATAAATAAATCGAAAGCAATTTTTAAAGTTTATTTATTTCAGAGAGAAAGTGTGTGTGTGTCTGTCTGTCTGTGTATGAGAGAGAGAGGAGAGCGTGCAGGGGGAAGGGCAGGAAGGAAGGAAAGTGAAAGAATCTCAAGCAGACTTTGAGCTGAGTGTGAAGCCCTACGTGGGTCTCAATCCCACAACACTGAGATCATGACCTAAGCCAAAACCAAGAGTGGGATGCTCAACTGACTGAGCCACCCAGGCATCCCCAAAAGCAATTTTTAAAAAATTAAAAAATAATTGTCTTTCAAATTGTTGTTTAAAATGTACAATATAAAATTTAACATTTTAACCATTTCTGAATGTACAGTTCCATGAATTAAATACTCACTATTTTACAACCATCACCACTATCTATCTCCAGGATTTTTTCATCATCCCATCCTGAATTTCTATGCCCATTTAAACAATAACTCTCCATTTCTCTCTGGTAAAAACTAATTAAAAAAAAAACAAACAAACAAACTCCAAACAAACAAACAAAACAAAACAATAACAAAAACACAGCCTTGGTAAAAACTGCTCTACTTTCTGTCTCTATAAATTTTACTACTCTAGGTTAACTCATATAAGTGCAATCAAATAATATTTGTCCTTTGTGACTACCTTATTTTATCCACAGTCATCTCCTCGAGGCTCATCTATGTTATAGAATGTATTAGAATTTCATTTTAAAAAACATCGTACAGCATCTACACACCACATTTTATCTATCCATTCATTCATCTGTGGAGGCTTGGATCATTTCCACCATTTGGCTATTATGAATAATGCTGCAGTGAATATGGGTGTACAAATACCTGTTTGAGTCTCTACTTTCTGTTCTTTTGGGTACACACCCAGAAGTGGAATTGTTGAATCATACAGTAAATCTATGTTTTAATTTTTTGAGGAACTGCCAAACTCTTTTCCACAGAGGTTGTACCATGTTACTTTCCTGCTGACAGCATACAAAAATTCCCATTTCTCCATATCCTGACCAACACTTCTTCTTCTTCTTCTTTTTTTTTTAAATAATAGCCATTGCAGTGGCATCTCAGGTGATTTTAATTTGCATCTCCCTGATTACTAATGGTATTGAACATTTTTTCATGTGTTTATTGACCAATTTGTAGATCTTCCTTGAAGAAGTGTCTATCCAAGTCCTTTGCCCAATTGGGTTGTTTGGTTTTTTGTTGCTGAATTGTTAGTTCCTTACACATTCCGGACATTAATCCCTTTTCAGACATGGAATTTGCCAATACTTTCTCCCATTTTGTGGGTTGCTTTTTCAGTTTGTTCATGGTGTTCAAAAATTTTAATTTTGATAAAGCCCAATTTGTTTATTTTTTTGTTTTGTTGCCCATGCCTTTGGTGTTGTATCTAGAAAATCAATGTCAAAACCAATGTTATGAAGTTTTTCCCATATGTTTTCTTCTAAGATTTTTATAGTTTTAGCTCATATGTTTTGGTCTTTGATCCATTTGAATTAGTTTTTATACACTGTTGTTAGGTAAAGTTTCAACTTCATTCTTTTGCATGTAGATATCCAGTTTTCCCAGCACCGTTTGTTGAAAAGACTGTCCTTTCCCACTGAATCGTCTTTGCACCCTTGTCAAAAAATCATTTGACCAAATGTGTGAATGTTTATTTCTGGGCTCCTTATTCTATTCCACTGGTTTATAATTCCGTCTTCATGCCAATACCACATTATTTTAATTACTGTAGCTTTGTAGTAAATTTTTATTTTTCAAATTAAAAAAAATTATTATTGTCATTATTTTTGCTTTGTAGCAAATTTTTAAATCAGAAAGTAAGTCTTCCAACTTTGCTCTATGTATTGTTTTTAAAGAAAATTTCTCTTTTAAATTTTCTAATAGATGTGTGCCAAAGTAGATTATATCTAGACTTTGTTGGCACAATTCTGCTCTGCTGAGTTATAGAGTTAGGAGAAAAGCCCTCAGAGTATTCTAATACCACAAAATATGGTCCTTCCTATCAGTAGTTTATAAGAGAGGTTGCAACTTAAGTGCTTAAAGGGGCCAGGCAGATTACCTAAGTGACTGGAGCGATAGGATTTTAGAAAAAGGAATGATAGAGAATGTGGGGAACCAGGAATATGTGCCTGATTCTTGTTCACACACTGAAAACACATTTTGAAGGCCAAATAAAAGAATGTGCAGCTAATCTGACCCTGAGGCTGCCAGTTGGCAAACTGTTCAAAAATTTTACTGCCGAGTCTAAATGTAATAAATAATATTTTATATAGGGGGAAATACAAGTTATATGCTCAAAACAGGTTTTATAGCTTAATTTCTCCATGTGTATGTACATATGTATCTGTGTTAGGATATATGACATATGAAATATAACCTTCATCCTACTTAGTCAAGACAGTAGAAGGCAATAATAAAGTGTAAAGAATCTGGGGTTAAGCTACTTCCCGGGCTTAAATCTCAGTTTCATTATACGTTGTCTTTTGACTGTGGGTAAAGTGTTAATCTTTCTCCACAAATTGTTTTGATCAGCAGTAGTCTGTATGAGGTGGGAGATAAGAAAAAATGGTGAATCCAAAACCCCCAGTGTCCAAAAAACAACTTCTAATAGTTCCACCTTTCCAATAAAAATATAGGAACCCTGGTTATAGATTGTGATTGATGCTTATTCCAGTCTTTAATATTAAAGTCAAGGGACTTTAACCCAATCTATTTAACACAAAACTCACAAACCCATCTAAAAAGTAATTCAATCTACATATTTTGCATAGTTGTTTTGATAAAAATCCACCTCAATGATTTGATAGATTCACAATAAAAGCACTGGTAAGAGGGAATTTGACAGTAATATTGCTAACCACTCTTTGGATTTTAGGAATCCCAATCTCTGAATGGTCTTAATTTGTTGAAATATCTGTGGGAGTGGGGGGTGAGAGCTATATAACAGTGGTAAGAGAACTAGATGTCATGGGGGATGCTGGCATGGCACATTCCTTCTCACCTGTCTTTTCGTATTGATCAAACCAAGTAAACTTACCGGTTTTACATTCCACACACATGAACTTTCCATCAGGGAGTGATGCCAATCCCAGGCACTCCAGGTGAAAGTGTTTGCAGCACTCTCCCTCACAGGGGATCAGAGAGTCACCAGAGCTTTCACAGATCTGCAATATGGCAAAAAGCAGTAGTTCTCAAACTTTAGCAGGCATCAGAATCACTTGCAGGGTCTGTTAAGACTCAGACTACTGGGTCCCTCTCCCAGTTTCTGATTCAGCAAATCTACGGTGGGGCCCAAGAATTTGCATTTCTATCAGTATCTTGACAATGCTGATGCTGCTGGTCCTTGGTCCTCACTTTAAGAATCACTGAAGTTAATTTTTTATTTTTTTTTTAAAGTTTTAATTTTAATTCCACTTAGTTAACACAATGCTATATTGGTTTCAGGTGTATAATATAGTGATTCAACAATTCCATACATCATCCAGTGCTCATCATGACAAAAATAATGAAAATATAGGAAGACTCCTAAATTTAATACATTAAAAAAAAAAAAAAAGAACCACTGAATTAGATAACTATTTCCAGACCCAATATGGTATAAAGTTTAAAAGGCATACTTGATCTTTCATGATTCCTTCTTTGGAATCTGCACTTCTTGAACCTTTCTTCACAGGGCAAAGCAGTGTTTTTCAAAAGGGTAAATATACATCACAAGAGGTAATACCAACTTAAATTTAGGAAAATGTTTTTTAAAATAAATCATCTGCCATTTACTTTTTTGGTAAGTAAGCTCTAGGCCCAACATGGGGCTTGAACTCACAAACCCAAGGATCAAGAGTTGCGTGTTCTACCAACTGAGGCAGCCAGATAGCCCCCATTTACCTCTAATTGATAACTGAGTATCACAACGAAGATTGGCACTTGTGTGGACAGAAAAGAGCCAGAAATGGCTTTTACCTATAGCTTTAAAGTAATATAATTTAGAAAGATACTACTCTCTCCAGCTGAAGGATAAGTATATTACTGGCTGACTGTTAAAAGCAATTATTTCAAGCTATCCATCGCTGGCCTACCTGACACACAGTGTCCTTCTTACTGACTCCAACGCCTCTTCTTGACAAACTTGAATCCACGGACTGCACATCAGAAACATCTGCATCTGCAGTAGCGGAAGGGCTATCTACTTGCTTTCCAAAGCCTACCTACATGGAAAACATAACACTTTGTAAGAAAAATGAAACAAAAATTTCCTTCAAGTGAGGTGCTATGAAAATCCTACCAAGATTTGCTCAAATAAACCTTGACACCTCTTTTTTTTTTCCTTTCTTTCTAAAACCCCTGGATACCATTTGCCTGATGTTTTGAGAGAAACAGTAGTTGAAATTTAAAAACACAGAAACTATGTTTGTTACATAAGAGATCAGCAAAATTAAGACATTCATAAATTACAAGATAACCAAAATGATTCGTTCCCTGAGTATTTAAAAAATTCCGCAGTCTCCCCAAATAAGTCAGGCAAAGCATTTTGTACATCTTGCAAAGCAAAAGAGAGAGCAAGGTGCCCTGAGCCTTGAACATACTTACCTGCAGGTCACTCAGCCCTCTGGAATCGGAGTCAGAGGTGTCTCTGTACGCTGAGCTAGTCATTTCTACATCAGTTGAGGCGCGACTCCTTTTCTTTAGAGGTTTACAGGAATCTGAAATCTCGCTGGCACCTTAATACAACATACCGAAATTAATCCTAAAATAGTGCTTAAGGTTTGTTGTTTTCATTTTTGTTTGTGGGAGATTATTTCTTTCCCCAAACTCATCTGTAGTGTGGAAAAAGCACAGCTCTCTTTGTAATGCTGAAGTCACGAGTCAAAACTTCAGAAGCTTCTGACCTTCCTGATATTGAGTGATTTAATTTACAACCGCTCTATTAAAACATTTAATTCAGTGCTCCTGCTCTAAAGCTATTTTCAGTCAACAGAGCCTAAGTTTCATGCTAAAAACCAATTCTTTCAAAACTACAGGACAGCCGATTGATTTGGAGCAATCCAAGGAACCATTCAATTTGGAGGGGGAAGACATAAAACCCAACACACTGTGTAGCTTACAAATATGGTCGCAGAGACATCTCCATCTTGTTTTTATTAGGGATGTGACAAATCTTTGATTTGTATTCGATTCGTACACGGATAGTGCCATTTTCCCCCGAATTTTGCAATTCAGTTGATTATTGCCCCCCGAATAAATTTTGGATGTTCGTAATTGTTCATCTGAGACTTCCTTGGTGAAGTGGCATTTATTGTGACCATTAACAAGTGCTGCAGCACATCTACATATGTCATGCCATCTAGGAGGCACATTGCTGAGGGTTGTAATGGACAATCAATGTTCAAGTGCAGCCAAATCACGAAGAGCTGGATGAGAGGCCTCTATGTGGAATTTGTGCGGGAAGGAATAAATATAAAAAAAAAAAAAAAAAAAAAAAAAAGGCAGAGAATAGTGTGGAATTTTTTTTAAAACTGTGTGTAATACAAATCCAGCCAAAACAATAGTGCAAAAAGTTACAAAGCAACAATCTCTTGGGCTAATGCAGTATAGGCTATACAGAAACAGCCACGATGAAATGTGCAGATCAGGCACGGTGAATACCAGGGAACCAAGGAGACGGTTAATATTTCAACCCACAGTTTGTGTTTTGGATTTTTTTTTTCCCCCAAAATTTCCATACAACAAACAGACATCTAGATCAGCCCAGCAAGCTATGGTGGAAGTGTGCAGTCCAGAAGAGACCATGGAGAAACAAGTCTCCTGAGGCCATGAAGATCCGCAACAGGCTGAGTGAGTAGCACTTGGAATATAGCCATGTTCTGTGGTGGAGGATGTGGGCCTCTTTAGACTGCTCAGATTACTGGAACCTTGTTATCACATCCCATTCTACAAGTTTTTTCACTGAATGTTTCCTTACATCTATAAATGAGGGTGCCTGCCCATGTTAACGCTGATTAAAAAACACAAGTACACAAATCTATCTCCTTCATTGCTGGTGTGTGGACCCAGAACACCACCACAAAGTATTTCCTTGGCCTAAAAGATCACTGGATTAACAAGGAGTTTTAACAGAGGAACAGGAGTGCTGTACTGAGAGGCTTTCGAAGGGAAAACACAGGTACCGCCATTTCCGATGAGTTTCTGAAAATGCTAGAAAAATGACAGACTGCCAAAGACAGCTGCCATGCTGTTCTCCATGATAACGGCACTAATATTAAAAAAAATAAGAGCTTTTAATGATTGTAATGTATACAGTTTGGGCTGTTTGGCAAAACCCTGCAGATGTGCATTAATGATGCTTTATTTAAAAACAAAAAACCAAAAAAACAAAAACAGTCCATGTTGAAATTGATCAGTGTAAGTTAAACGGTGGTTTTTAGGCTGGACCCATGATTTAAGCTGTACCCATCCAGCTCAGACCAAAAAAAAAAAAAAAAAAAAAAAAAAATCATCTGAATGTTAAAGCAATTGTTCAGAGTCTTGAAGAAGAAACCAGGCAGGAAAATGCCAATAATGATGATTGGCGAAATCAAAATTGAAAACAAAGAAACTGTTTATCGAGCCGCCGACAAAGAAATCTTGCATGGAGACTCCAAGTCTGGAGTTTCTGGGATGAAATTGTACAGGAATCTCAGTCCACAGTTTCCTCAATCGCTGCGGAGACGGAGCTGTCACTGAATCTGACAGAGCCCTGCACTCCCCGGTCCGCCGACCCTGTGGAATGGTGGAAACACAACGCAATCAGGCCTCCTAATCTCGCAGCGATCGCGATGTCTTTTCTTGGAGCTCCGCCAAGCAGTGTTCCCTCCGAGAGGCTGTTCAGTTCTGCTGAGGATCTCCACGGAGACCATCGCTGCAGACTTCTCCCCGAGAATGCAGAGAGGCTGGTGTTTTTTTTTTTATTTTTTTTTTAAATAATGCAATTTGCCCAGAGTAAACTACAGGTATCAAATACAGTTTGAATGATCTCACCAAAAACGCACGAATCATGCTATGGAGTTTGTACTGTAGTCAAATTGCACACAGAAAATATGGATATAAGTTTAAGGTTTCTTAAACTTTGTGCATATCTCAAATAAGATTTGCATAAGGTCATCTAATAATGGCCATAAATATGCTACAAATCATTTTAATTTAAAAAAAAAAAGATTTTACAGCACTGTCAAAATAAACGTGGCAAGATTTTTTTCAATCGGGTTGTCTTGTCTGATTTGTCATAGTCCATGTTTGACAAACATTAATAGCTACTATTCGGTATTCAGTCGAATACCAAAAAAAATGGATTCGTCACATCCCTAGTTTATAAACCAGTGAAACCCCAGAATCTCATGGAGAAAAGTTAGAAACAGTATCAAGTCTACATGGTGTTCTCCAATTTACCAAAACAAGTAAGACCTTACACATGGAGGTACAGAATAAGATCAACTCTAAAACACACACACACACACACACACACACCAGGAAATACTTCAATTTCACACAAATTTTGGACTGAAGAGCAACAACAGTGATTTACAGAGACAAACAAAAATACATGAAGTACAAATAAGTAATTCTTAAATATTGGTTTTAATCAAGGAAATGCAAGGCAACATTATAATAACTCACCTTTCTGTAATCCAGTCTTCACTGTAGCCTGAGGAACTGTTTCAACCTGTTTGGATAGAAAAATATACCATTAACAAGGAATTTTTTCACTTTTAATTAACAGAGGGAAAAAAACAATACTTCCATCAATCTAAGTAATGATGAATGATTCATGTATCTGAAATCTGAACTCCGTCCCATCTTCTGGGTAAAGTTTCTCTGTCTCAAGGTCAGGGAGGGTTTAAATCCTAACTGCCTATGCTGAATTCCAAGTGACAACACACAGCCACATGCTCTCTAGGAAAGACTTTTCCCACCATTCCCTTGGTATATGAGAACAGGAATCCTTTCCTCAGTGTCTGGGAGGCAGGAGAGGGGTTGTTTCTGCAACCAGCCCCGATGTTGCTATAAACCCCTCCCACCCCAAAGACGTTAGGATAAATTTTTACTTACTATGATACTCAGGTTAATGTAACTCACGCCACTTTAAGACCCTTCCGCGCCTGCACTCACAGCTAAGTTGCTGGGAATCAGGACCCTCTCTGTAGAGAGTGCTACAGGGCTCCATACAGCTGGAAGCTCAATACTTTTGCTGCTAGTACAAACTTAAGAAAATAAGTTTGTGATATTGCAAAAGCACTTTCTTGAGTGTCTTATGAACAGTGTCTTGATCCTACATTAGGAGAGCGAGATCAGAAGTTATTCTGCCAATGTATATGTAAAACACGTGGTAATCTGCGGCTTGAACCATTGGAATTAAAGAAATGATGCTGTTTGGAGGAGTTCCTGTTTTAGCTATGAATTGAATTTTAGGTTTCTTTAAGATGTGGTGAGATATGCATGTTGAAACACATTTTGTAAATATTTAAGGATTGTTCTAAGCTTTTTAAAAAATTTTTTTATTTTTTTTACAACAGGTAAAAAAACATACAACAGAAGCGCTTTTTTAAGATACAATTAGTAATACAAATATAAAATCTTCTAAACAGTCACTGTTATTGTTCTACTACTAACTATAACATAGTGGCATTAACAATTTGTCCCACTTTTTATATTCATTCTGCTAATTAATTTTAAACTGACTGGTCACATCTGAATTTGGGAACCAGCTGGAAAAATCACAACCTCATTTTGGTAATGAATGCTATAGATTTGCAAGAGCTTAGAAAGATTTTTTGGAATATAATTTCCTAAGTATGAAAGTTAATTATGGTAAATGAATGACAAATTAGGATATTATTTAAATTTTAGTTAAATGATCCTGGGAAAATTGTTTTACATGCTTGGAGATACCACAGAGCACCCACAAAATCACCTTTTAAGTTTGGAAGTTTACATTGTGAAGGAAATAATTTGAATAGAAAAGTCCACACTTCCATATTAAGTGGTTTTAAAAATATAAAGCTTACTGGAACTAATACTATTCAGAATTCTTTTTGCTTAACAGCAGCTGTCTGGGCTATAAAAAATGGATATTCTTCCACTTTAAAAAGTTAGGAAAAATTCTTATTGTGAGTTTAATTTCAAGGAATAATGGTTTCTAAAACTTTCTTTGAAAAGGTAATTTAATATGCATATTACTACATTGATTACACTGGTTTAATACCCTTGAGTCAAATGTCCCTCCTTTTTTGGTTTTTACTTATTAAATGGTGTTTCTGATAACTCAATCACAGGTGAGTGCCATTCCACTGGGAAAATAACATTCCAAAAAATCTGTGATACCAACAGAAAAACCAGATCATCTATGATTATCTGTGTCTTAAATATAATTCTCATAGTTAAATTAATTTGATTTGTTTAAAAAATAAAAACAATACATACCAGCAGCTTAAACAAAAAATCAAAATTTAAAAGGACAGGGGGGACTAAAAATCATGAAAACATGAAATCATTTTGTTCGTAACAGATATTTCAAAATAAATGTGAGGAATTCTTTAAGAATCTTAAACCACTGGCTTCCCATCTCCTGAAGCCTGACTATTCTCTGTGAAAATGCCTGAAGCAGAATCACAGGGATGGCTGTATTAGAACTGGGCACTGGAACTCACTAGGACAGAAGCATAAGATAGTCCAGAAAAAGGAAACCCAGGTTGGGGAAAGTTTCTCTTTCTTTTAAGATACGATATAAGCCACAACATTTACAAATACAATGTTTTAACTCTCTACATGTAGGAAGCCAACCTGCTCCTTTTTGATCTTCTTCTTTGGCACAACCTCGGTAGATTTCTCTGATTCAGAACGAGTTCTAATCGATCTTCTCTGTTGCTTCTTCTCTACTGAGCCTAAGAGGTGATTTAAAGGAACAAACAAAAACTCATTTAAGGATGACTTGACATTCATTTAGTTAAGATTTGATCCAATTCCCTGCTTTTCTTATCCATTACTTTGTTTTATTATTGTTTTGTTTTATTTTTGGTCTTTCAACTGTAAATCACTAAAAGTTCAATCTGTACTACATATTTTTCATTTTAACAAATGAATTAAATTAACCCTATCTGTAAAATGTTGAACGGCGTTTGGTGTACCTATATGAATTTTTGCTACTGTATATTATTAACAACAACAGGGGAAAAGGGCACAAAGATGTGGCCAAAACCAAATCATTAATTTGGATGCCAAGGAGCTTGTTAAGCTTTAGAAATAATGAGTCATGAAAAACTTTCTGAAACAAGTTAGCAAGGTTTTTCATGTTAAATAGTAAAACAGAAACTAATAGTATTTTTTAAACAGTAAAATTTTTTGGAAGTAAACAGAAAAAAAGAAAATAACCTCACATGGACCCTACTCTGGACAGGATAAAACTTAGAATGAAGACCACAACTGGAAAGAACGCTAAGTCAGGAACGACTCATTCTGGAATCCTGAGAAGGAATGATGCCTGCGGTGCAGCTGTTCTCCATCTTTTCAGTGCTCGGACCACCTGCATGGTCCTTCCTACATAATAATCACCCTTCCACACCTTGCCAGGGGAGAAAGCTCTTATCAAAGCAGGCAGAAGTTACTTCAATAAAACCTTCCCCATTACCTTTATCTTTTGTGGTTTCATTGTTCTTGTCTATGTGTAAATGGTTTCCTTCACCTTAGTTCAAAGCCAAAACAAAGAAGGATCCAACTATGTCTGTTTTGGGGAAGAAGGAGGTAGTCTGATACTAATGTATTGTTCCTGAGTTGTGTCAAGCAGCTGTGTCTGCTTTTCTAGCAGAAAAGTCACAAATGAAGGTGTTGGCTCCTTCCTTCATCCTCACTCTGCTGCTTACACTGATGGAAACATTCACTAAGACAACAGATATCCTACACTCACAGACACCTGAGTATCCCAGAAATCCAGACTTTAGTATAATCATCAATCACCTATCAGGAAAGAGCAAAATGAAAATAGAAATGCTTAAAACAAAATAGCTTCACTTGTTTTGAGGATGACAACATAACTGTTCCATTAAGTAGAGATGGTTATTTGATCTATCTTATAGAAAATAAAGCAACACGACTTCTTTTAATTGTTCTGAAAGCTACCGAAAGAACACATAAAATCTACCATATTAAAACCACTAAAAAGTACTGCATTTGTGTCCTGAGAGAGAGGAGGTGACCATCTCTGGATAATAGTTTAGAAATCGATTATAAAGGCAAATACAATTCTTCAAATCACAGAAATTAGCAGTGCCACACACTCTATGCACCCTCTAAATTTACTAGAAAAGGCTCAAGAATTCTGTCTAGTAGTTGACACCAACTGAGATGATGATACAACTGGTTTCTGAAGGGAGATCAAGTCTTTTCTCTCACTCTTCAACTACTGAAGTTATTTCTACAAGAAGCAAAACGGTCATTTAAAAAGGCAAAATATGCTCATCAACCACAGCTGGTAACCAAATTTAAACCAATGTCAAAGCTTTAGAGCACTCATTAATTTACAACCTAAATATAGCACCTGCTTAAAGAAGGAATTGCACTTATTCCAGATATAAAGAATCAGAACCTTCCACTTTACCTTTCACTTACAAAAAAATAAATTTATAGCAAAACTTTAATCTTACAGCGAAAAGACTACATGAAAAGAAAATGTTCTGGGGCGCTTCGGTAGCTCAGTGGGTTAAAGCCTCTGCCTTCGGCTCGGGTCATGATCTCAGGGTCCTGGGATCAAGCCCCACATCGGGCTCTCTGCTCGGCGGGGAGCCTGCTTCCCTTTCTGTCTCTGTCTGCCTCTCTGCCTGCTTGTGATCTCTCGCTGTCAAATAAATAAATAAATAAAATCTTTTTAAAAAGAGTGTAGGGGCGCCTGGGTGGCTCAGTGGGTTAAGCCTCTGCCTTCGGCTCAGGTCATGATCCCAGGGTCCTGGGATAGAGCCCCACATCGAGTTCTCCGCTCCCCGGGGAGCCTGCTTCCTCCTCTCTCTCTCTGCCTGCCTCTCTGCCTACTTGTGACCTCAGTCTGTCAGATAAATAAATAAAATCTTTAAAAAAATAATAATTAAAAAATAAAAATAAAAATAAAAAAATTTTAAAAAGTGTAATATTTAAGATCAATCTAATATGAAGAGTCTACATTCTCCCTAAATAGGAGAATGTAGATATTTAAATAGATATCCCCCTAGGCTAAGTGTAACACTTAAACCAGACAAATTACAACAGTTTAGTGTAAAGAAAGATAACAAAATTGATGCACCTGACTATGGAGAGCTGAGGCCAAAAAATTCTTTAAATCTTCAAAGAAGGAACAGATGTTTTCAATTATGGTTAATTAATGCAAAATCTTTTAAGTCCACTTACTCATTTCTTTAACATCGTAATTTCATTTTTTTATACAGTATTGTGAAATGATACAAGTTGCAAATCTGGTTCTGGACTTTGCTACTCTCTCCTTACTTTAACACAGCTTCCCTTCCCAATTCAAATTTGGATAAAGGCATAACGTTTTGCATGCCCCATCCAATATATGTCCCATCTCCCCTGCCACCACCTCTCCCTATCTTGTAGCACCCCTTCACCTTTTTTTTTTTTATAGAAAAGCTAGCCCAAATTCTTTCCTGAACAATGACTGCTTTTATTTTAGCTCTTAAAATAATAAGAATCTTACTCAAAGTTTCCCTTACAAAACTATTTGCCCCTTTGTGCCACTCAGTCACAATTCTGCCTGAGTTACTACTGATTCAAGGCTACTACCTCAATTCTCAAGATTTTATTCCTTCTAGAAAATTATTTGGTCCCTTTGATTTGATTCCAAAAATTTTTTTAAAGAACAAGGTGAAACAAAGTCCTTTCTCCTAAACTAAGATTCTAAATGACCAAACCAGTTGACAATCTAACTCTTTTCTTGATGGCTGTAGGAAGCAGTAATACTATTATATAAACCAAACCAACCAGAAACTCAGTTAAAAATAAGATACTTAGTATGTCAGTCCCTAAAAAAAAATTACTTTGACTATTCCAAAGGTACAACCTTACTAAATATAGGCATTTCTCTTTTAAACAAGAAAATATGGTTTGATTTTCTATTTGTGGTATCTGTTAATCAGAGAACAGAATTATAATAGGAGAATTAGGCCCTAAGTCCCCTACTTACTAACATCTACTATACCTAAAAATAATAAAAAAGCATGGGCATCTGTCAATTAGTTTCTAATAAAAGATTAAGAATGAAATGGTAAGAAGGTGTTAATAGAGCTAGAAAAGTAAAGTTGTCATTTTCATGCAAAGAGAGATAATCAGATGTGCATTTACTCAGATGTGTACAGATTTCATAACTATACTCTTTTTAATTTTAATTAAGTTTTAATTACAGAACCTTCTTATTAACTTAAACTCCTGTAAGAAAAATAACTTACTATGAATAAAGCTCCCTAGCCCCTATTCTTCCCTATTGAAATAAATGCTTTCATAACTTAATTTTTTAAAATATAATTTGATTTTGATAACTAAAAGTTTCTTAGGAATGCAGTTACAATGTTATAGCAAAACAGAACTATGACCTCTTAAAATGGATCTACATACTCTTCATTCCTTACCCACCTGTAGGACCAGATGTTGCTTCAGGAGATGATATATTCTGAGTTGCCTTTTCATTTCTCTGGTTTGGTGTAGAAATTATAAGTCTTTCCTGTCCCCTGACACTTATTTCCGTTTTGTTACCAATTCCCTTTAAAATAAGACAAATTAAAAATAGGTGATTACCAGGCAAATGGCATTAATTGGCTTACAAAGACAGCTTAAGATGGTCATGATTTGCTTGAATTTTACACACTCTTTGATTGTAGTTAATTTATCATCTTTGCCGTTACCAGAGCAATTTTATTAAATTATCGGGATGTATTCTAAAATGTATAATGAGATTATGTGAGGAAAAAAAAAAAATGATTCCACATGAGGTATATCACTAAAAACTGAACCAGTATCACCTAGTTTTCTGTCAATACCAAAATGTTTTCTTGTCTGAATAGTCTTTCCCTTTACCTCATCACAGGAAAAGAACTTGAGTCATTCTCATTTGGTTAAGTACCTTACTACACAAATCAAAATGTCAGCATGTCTTTTATTTTTTTAAGATTTAAAAAAAAATATTTTTATAAACATATAATGTATTATTAGCCCCAGGGGTACAGGTCTGTGAATCGCCAGGTTTACACACTTCACAGCACTCACCATAGCACATACCCTCCCCAATGTCCATAACCCCACCACCCTCTCCCTACACCCCCGCCCCCGCCCCCACCCCCCGCAACCCTCAGTTTGTTTTGTGAGATTAAGAGTCTCTTATGGTTTGTCTCCCTCCCGATCCCATCTTGTTTCATTTATTCTTTTCCTACCCCCCAAACTCCCCATGTTGCATCTCCACTTCCTCATATCAGGGAGATCATATGATAGTTGTTTTTCTCCAATTGAAAATGTCAACATGTCTCAAAAGACAAGAATATAGGGGCGCCTGGGAGGCTCAGTCGGTTAAAGCATCTGCCTTTGGCTCAGGTCATGATCCCGAGGTCCTAGACTGAGCCTGCATCAGACTCCCTGCTCAGCGGAGAGCCTGCTTCTCTGCCTACTTGTGCTCTGGCTGCTACTCTGCCTACTTGTGCTCTCTCTATAGCTCTCTGTCAAATAAAGAAATAAAATCTCAAAAAAAAAAAAAAAAGACAAGAATATCCTTAGATACAGAAATCTGACATTCATGATGACCAAAATGTGTACCCAATAAGCAATTTGGAGCAGATAGAAGGCAGCTATAATTACAGCTCTGTCTCATTTTAGGTATTTTAACACAATGAAATAAAGGAGTGGTTTGCAAAAATATGCATTTTTAAGGTCTTCATTTTAAAAAGATGAGTTTGGGGATGCATGGGTGGCTCAGGCAGTTAAGCCTCCAACTCTTAATTTTGGCTCAGGTCATGATCTCAGGGTCGTGAGACTGAGTCCCCCACCGTCCCCCCACACTAGGTGGAGAGTCTGCCTGAGATTCTCTCTCTCCCTCTGCCCCTGCCTGCAGACCCCTCATGTGTGGGGAGTGCTCTCTCTCTAATAAATAACTCTTTTTTAGAAATTTAAATAAATGAATAAATGAATAAATAAATAAAAATAAATAAAAAGACAACTTTATCCTCAATTTCATTTAAATAGCACTCTTTGGAGCACGGTGACAAAGTTTGATTTGTATATCCAAATGCAGATAAAAACTAGCTCCAAGAATGAAGCCAATTTGCATTAAAAATAAGTAGCAAGGTATTCCTTTGCTATTCCAAGCTGTCAACAGAACCAAGTGGAGACTGTAACTTAAGTCTTTCCAAGTAGTTTAGTCTTACTGAAATCAGTTGAACCTACAGTCAGAAACAAATTAACAGAGAATCCTTATACTTCTCTCTAGTAAACTATTATCACTTAAGCACCGGGTGTCATATGTCAGTGTTCAATCACTAAATTCTACACCTGAAACTAATATTACACTGTATGTTAAATACCTGGAATTTAGATAAAAACTTGGAAAAATATAGCACTGATGAGGCATACTTATATTTAATTATTTTCAGGTGCACATGACAATGTTAGGAAATAAGCAGAGGAAAAAAGGACACACACACAAGGTGCCACTAAATTGAATTCATAAGCCTACAACTGTGGTAAGGGTTTGGAGGACAGTGAAGAGGTATACGGAATAAACATTACAAATGTTATCACATAATTTTAAAGTCTAAAAGTTTAAATATAAGTGTCCTAAATGGAGGTTCAGGGCTGGCTGATGGAGGTATTCAATTTGAAGAGGTATTTTTACCCATTACCTACGCTATCACCACAGTTAGTTGTTACAGAACAAACACAGTTCTGGAATTTCTCTAAAACGCATTAGCTCTCCCAAGCCAACATGAGCCTAACAAAATTGCTGGTGCAACTGGATAGATTAACAGGTAAAATTATTACAGTGGTTAATTCAGATAACTGAGAAAAATGTAATAAGCAGCACACTTTGCGGCTAAGAAAAACTAACTATACAAACTAGAAACAGGCAAAGTGCCGAGTTTTTTCCCACAACTTTAGGGACCTAAGCTCAATTTTGGCTGCACAGCTCAAGATTAATCTAGTACAGATGGGGTATTACAAAAGAGGGGGGAAAACGAAGGAAAACACAGTCTTTCTGCCTTTTTTGCCCCCTTAGACACAGTAAACTAACCGTACATTTCAAATGCAGTGGTAAAAGGGTATTTAAATTACGACCTTGTGTTGTTTATGAGGTTTCTTTTTAAATACCAAGGTTGAAGACTTATGAAATAATATTCCCCCAAAACACCCATGAAGAAAGGAGGTACCTTTGTCGAATAAACAAACTGATCGATAAATTTCCCATCTCCTGTAGCATTCTGAAGAGCAAACACTTGTTCAATCTTCACAACCGGAGACATGTTACACTTCTGCAAATCCAGGCCCCCTTTGTGCATTGTAATGGAAGCTGGTAAAGATTTCCTCGCAGCGGCCGTTTTCCAGGCTATTTTAACAGGAGGTGGTTCTTCCTCTTCCGCGCTCGTGTGCCGCCTCTGGCTCTGTCTCCGAATTTCGGGACTTGAGAGTGAGGAGGCCACTTCACCCGCATTGCTCTGTTCCGGCTGAGTATTCAGCACTGACCTCGGTCTTCGGGTTTTCTTAACTTCAGCTTTGGAGGCAACATTCTTCTTTGCTTGGGACAAAGCCTCCTCAGGCTGTTTATCAATATAGATAAAAGTATACTGTTCTATTCTTTCCTCTCGAGTCATTTTTAGTGCCTTCTCTGCATGGGCGATACCAATGTCCCACTGAGCACGTTCTCTCTGAGGCCGGGGTTTCCGAATCTTAAAAAAGACCCAGGCAGATAAAAGACAGGTATTATTGGATACATTTCAATCTAATTGGTACATTTATACCAATATGTATTTCCCACATGATCCGGACATCTTTCCAGGTGACATAAATAAATATTTTCAGGTTCTTCAGTCAAATACATGAAATGTTCTAACTCCCTAACTTTGATAAGTCATATTACTATCAGACGACAGGCAGGTCTACTCTCTTTCATATTTCCTTTTTTGTTGACCACTCTTCTGGACAAGTTCCTCAAAGAGGTAGCTGTCCCTTCTCACATTACATTCATAAAAAGCTAGCAATGAGGGAAAGGGAAGAGATTGCAGAACGATTACTTTCAGTGGTCAGTGGAACACTAACATTAAAAAATGACACCCTAAGCCTCCGGGGGTACTACAGAGATCACAACAAAGCAAATGGCAGAGTCAGTATTTGAAGCTGTGCTGGTAGTTTGTACCATAATGCAAATAGGGGCAGAACGCAGAGAAAGGAGAGAGCCCAGAGGAACCAATGAGGGTTGATAAGACATTGGAAAGAAAGAATGTATGAGAGAAAAAATAAACCCGAACCGGTTTCCATAGGTCTCCTTCACTGTTGCTCAGAAGAGCAACTTGGAGTTGCCAAGACAGATAAGAAAACTTTGAATGAAAGTATGAGAGATGACCAAAGCCATCAGGAATTATCTACGGCATTAGACTGAGGTAGCCCAAAATTAGCTAATGAAACTATGAGAAGGGATGGTATATGTGAAATGCTGATTTATAAATCTGTAAAATGTTGTCTGATAAAATTAATCAAAATCCTGTGTGATCAAATTTAGCTTTTAAAGAGTAAAAATATGACAAATTTCTGAACCACAAGAGACCCACCCTAAAATTAGTTAAGTTTTAAAATGTCAACCAGATAGATAATCAGGAGTTGCTGTTATAATTCTAAAATATCCACCACCACAAACATATTTCTTGGTTCCATCACTAAGTGTGTCCTTGGTTGAACAAGTTACTTAAGCTGTCTGTGCCTAGTTTCTTCATCTGCAGAAATAGGAATAATGGTATCTATCCCACTTAAGTTGTTATAAAGATTAAATGAATTAATATACACAAAATGCTTAAAACAGTGCCTGTCTCATAGTAGGTGCTCACTAAATATTTTGAAAACTTCACTGTCACAAAACAAATTTTACTAGATAAGAATAAAGGAAATCATATAAAGATAATGAAATAGGAGAAAGAATAGAACTCCCTAGCAAAATCCACATTTCACTAGCAGCTACTAGTCTTATGTACACTAATTCAATTCAAAAATAGAATCCAATACTGTATTAAGCAGAGTTCAAGTTTTTAATAGTATTTTAATGTTGTTTATATAAAATACAAAACCTACTGGCATACAATACATTATTAAAACTGAACTTAGTGCGGGCGTCTGGGTGGCTCAGAGGGTTAAAGCCTCTGCCTTCATTCAGCTCAGGTCATGATCCCAGGGTCCTGGGATCGAGCCCCACATCGGGATCTCTGCTCAGCAGAGAGCCTGCTTCCCCCTCTCTCTGTCTGCCTCTCTGCCTACTTGTGATCTCTCTGTCAAATAAATAAATAAAATCTTTTAAATAAATAAATACAGCTGAACTTAGGTTAAAATAACATCATTCTAACAACTCTCTAAATTCAAGTATGAAAACTTGTACTAAATTAAGTCCTCTAAAAACCGTATTCGATTGGTAATGTTAGTATGTCAGATACCTTTTGTTTCTCAGAGTGATTGCTGGCTTGTTTGGTTGCTTCAGCCAATAATTCTTCATATTGTTTATGACCTTTGTACTCTCGTACTCGCTTTTCATGAACCCATGCCCTCTCCGGCTGGTTGCTAAAAAACTGGACGTGATATTCCCGGGCACCTGAAAGCAAAAATTCTTATTAACCATTTCAGAACATAAGCATCCACATATACTCTGCCCAAAAGATGAACCTATGCCAGCTTCCCTGGCATCATTCCTATTAAAACTCATACGCTTTGGATTGTTCAAAGATATAATCCAACACCTGCCAATTACACAACTAATAGTTATTGCAAAAAAAATCACTCCCAAATGATTAAAATTTGTCCAGCAAGTTTTAAGAGAAAGAAAATCAGAAATTCTGCTAATTATCAGATTTGTTATCTTGGTTACACAACTTATTTTTCCTTGTCTCAAACCTTTTTACAAACAAACTTGGGAATAAATAATTTTTTCTTCAAAAAGTGTGTAACAGGGGTGCCTGGGTGGCTTAATCGGTTAAGTATCTTCCTTTGGACTCAGGTCATGATCCCAGAGCCCTGAGATCAAGCGCCATGTTGTGCTCCTTGTTCAGCAGGGAGTCTGCTTCTCTCTCTCTGCCTGCCCACCCCTCACCGCTGCTCCCTAGCTCGTGGGTGCTCATGTCCGTGCTCTCTCTCTTTCAAATATAATCTTTAAAAATATTTATAACATATTTTCTTGGACTTTAAAAGTGCTAGTCAAATTGCTTTTCTGGCTGTATAAAAGTGGGCTATACAGACTCAAGGGTGGAGAAGAGGCCACTGACTCTTTCAGGGATCCTGTGAGGTAAAAACTGTCTTCATAATAATACCAAGATGCTACTGTCTTTTCAGTGTGGTGGCATTTGCACTTAATACTGCAAGAACAATGGTGAGTAAGACTGCTGGGATGTTAGCACAAATAAAGACAGTGAGTGACACCAAACTATACTAGTATCACATTCTAGTTACACAGAAGAGTAAGCATTTAGAAACTATGATAATTTGACATTATCATGACATTTAGGCACAAGATCAGGGATCTTATACAACCATACACTGGCAGTTAAAACAAAAAGCCGCTTTTATTTAACGTCCTTGATGAAGTGGTAAAATGATTAATTTCACTAAATTTCAACCTCTGGACACTATCTTTTTAATATTCTGCATGATGAAATGGGAGGTATGCATAAAGCACTTTTGTTTACTGAAGGGTGACAGTTATCTTGAGGAAAAGTACTTGTATGACTGATTAAGCTGCAAGATCACTGGTCACTTTTTCATCATTTTTACTGGAAAGAACGACTGACAGAAAAACTATGGTTACTTGAACTTGAGCATTTGGCAGGTATTTCCTTTAAAACGAACAAAGCAAGTTTGCTATTTCAATGAAATCAACTGACAGTATTTATTGCCAATGACAAAATTTGATCTTTCAAGCAAAAATTAAAATTTTGGAAAACCCGAGTCTTCCAACTTCCCAATAATCAAAGAATTTTCTGATGAAATAACTGGTCTTATAAACTAATGTGATTTAAAAAATACCTGTAGAAGGGGCGCCTGGGTGGCTCAGTCATCAAGCGTCTGCCTTTGGTTCAGGTCACGATCCCAGGGTTCTGGGATCGAGCCCCGCAACAGGCTCACTGCTTGGCAGGAAGCCTGCTTCTCTCTCTCCCACTCCCCCTGCTTATGTTCCCTCTCTCATTGTGTCTCTGTCAAATAAATAAATAAAACCTAAAAAAATTATATATATATATATATATATATATATATGCATATACACACACACATATATATAAATATATATGGGAGGGATGGGGCACCCCCTGGGTGGCCAGTCGATTAAGTGCCCAACTCTTGATTTCAGCTAAGGTCATGTCATGATCTCCAGATGGTGAGATCAGAGCCTTGCTTAAGATGATCTCTTCCTCTGCTCCTCCCCCTGGCTCCTATGCACACTCTCAATCTAAAGAAAAATGATCTATAGAAAATGTGTCAACACTTGGAAGATATGTCTCACTTATTAAAGCCAATATTTTTTATTTAAAAAAATTTAAAGATTTTATTTATTTATTTATTAGAGAGAGGGAAAGAGAAATGGGAGTGGGACTGCATGAGGGGGAGGGAGTACAGGGGGAGGGGAGACAAGCATACTCTGTGCTTAGTGAGGAGGCCCATGGGAAGGCAGGGGTCAATCCCAGGACCCTAAGATTATGACCTGAGCGAAAGTCAGACAATTAACCAACTGAGCCACCCAGGCACCCCAAACCACTATTTTTTAAATGGCCAATATGTAATGTTATAAAATCACGAAAGGTAAAAGATTCATTCAAAGTGCAAGACAGAACCAATGGAGTCCAATGTAACAAAATACAAAAAGGTTATGGATATGATTTCAGATTCCATATTCCAACTAACCCACCACTTGTTGAGTTTTGGTGTAGTATCAAAGAAATATATACACATTACCTAAAAAGTCTATTAAAATACAGTATCCTTTTTCAACTACACATCCGTCTGAGGTCAGATTATCTTCATATAGTTAAACCAAAACAACAAATTTTAACAGATTGAATGTAGAAGCAGATACAAGAATCTAGTATCTAGCCAGTCATTAAAGAGATTTGCAATGATGTAAAATGATACTACTCTTCTCAATATTTTTGAGAAAATATTTTTCATAAAAATACATGACAACATAAAATAATTTTTAAATGAATTAGTAAATTTTTAATTTACTAATTTATTTTTAAATTTTCTTAGTTTTAATTTCCAAATTAAAATAAATAGTAATAGATACAACCCATGTAAACAAAAGCTTTTTAGAGTCGTCAAACTGTAAGAGTGTAAGGGGTTACGGGACCAAAAAATCTGAGAACTGCTGTTCTAGAACAGTGCTACTCTCCAAGTGTGGTTCCCAGAACAAGCCAGTCTGTGACAAAATAAACACAGAAGAGTAAGCATTTAGAAACTATAATTTGACGTTGTCATGACATTTAGGCACATGACCAGGGATCTTATACTATATTTTTTTGCGGGTGGGGAGGGCTTTCCTTTTTGTAATAGTTACTTTTAATGTATTTTGCATAAGTATTGGTCCATGGTGGAATGGAAATTTTTAAGAAACGAACAAAAACTGTTTTTTTCCATACAAAGTTTGAAAAACAACTCTAAAGAAAATGTCTCAGGTTAATAGAGTACTGTATAATTGGTCTTAGTGAATCCAATTCAGGTAGGCAGAGAAAAATAACAAGCAGATCTTGACTAGAAAAATACAGGTATAAGCTTAAGTTGAACTCAGTTATCTGAAATCGACTGTATCTTCCATTTGAAAATTTTTAAATTTTATTAGACATTAATGGGAGATTACCTAAGGAAGTATTTTGAAACCAGATTAAAATTATGTAAAATAGCCTATAAGAGAGAAATACAATTCAATTTCCATATAATCTGAGAAGGAAGAGCTAAGCACAAATTTGACTATAATTAATCAAAGAAGGTTTATCAAAAGTCCAAGGGTTTTTAGAGACAAAAAAAAGAAGAGGCGCCTAGGTGGCTCAGTCTTGAAGTGTCTGCCTTCGGCTCATGTCATGATCCCAGGGTCCTGGGATCGAGCCCCCCATTGGGCTCCCTGCTCGGTGGGAAGCCTGCTTCTCCCTCTCCCACTTCCCCTGCTTGTGTTTCCTCTCTCGCTGTGTCTCTTTCCTTCAAATAAATAAATAAAATCTCTTTCTCTCTATATATATAGCATACATATGCTATATATATATATAACCTAAACTAATAGGTGAGTTTGGAAAATAGGGTAGTGGGTACAGGTAACAAGGTTAAAAGAACATAGGGCATAATCTGTTTTCAAGTCAGTGAGTTATTCAGAATCAGAGTTTAAATTACAGTTAAAAACATGAAAACAAAAACAGATGATGCAATCTCATTTTAATCTTTATTTTCAACTTCTTCCTCTATTACATCATTAGTACAGATGAAACAAATCAAACAATCTGCCTCTTTGTTATTATCACTTTATTTCCTGCTGGCCAAAGAACTATGAATGAAATAAAAACCTAAAGACCTGAAAAAATGAGAAGTAAGCAAATCTGTCTTTGAATAATAGGCTGAATTCCAAAAGAAAAATGCAGAGGAAATATTTTCTTTAAAAATTTATTTATTTATTTTAGAAAGAGAGTGGGAGAGAGAGGCCGTACATGTGTGTACATAAGTGGGGGAGGGACAGAGGTAGAAAATCTCAAGCAGATGCCTAGCTGAGTGTGGAGCCCTCCAGGGGGCTCAATCCCATGACCCTGAGGATTATGACCTGAGCTGAAATCTCCAGTCAGATGCTCAAATGACTGAGCCACCTGGGTACCCCAGAAATGTTTTTATTTAAGAAAAATAATATGAAGGTAAAACCATCTAATTTCAAACTTTTAAAAAAAAGTTAGGAACAGAAGTTACAACAGGGGGCGCCTGAGTGGATTAAGCCTCTGCCTTCGGCTCGGGTCGTGATCCCAGAGTCCTGGGATCGAGTCCCGTGCTAGGCTCTCTGCTCGGTAGGGAGCCTGCTTCCCCCCTCTCTCTCTCTGAGTGCCTCTCTGCCTACTTGTGATCGCTCTCTGTCAAATAAATAAATAAAATCTTAAAAAAAAAGTTAACAATAGGTAAAGAAGATTTGGTATACACATGCACACACACATACACACACAGTGGAATATTACTCAGTCATCAAAAAATGAAATCTTGCCATTTGTAATGATGTGGATGGAACTAGAGAGTATTAAGCTAAGCAAAGTAAGTCAATCAGAGAAAGACAATTGTATGATCTAACTCATATGTGGAATCTAAGAAACAAAACAGAGGAGCATAAGGAAAGGGAGGGAAAAAATAAAACAAGATGAAATCAGAGAGGGAGCCAAACTGTAAGAAAACCATAAGAGACTGAGGGTTGCTAGAGGGGAGGGAGGAGAGAGATGGGGTAACTGGGTGATAGACATTAAGGAGAGCAAAGGGTATAATAAGCACTGGGTGTTATATGCAACTGACGAGTCACTGAACTCAACCTCTGAAACTAATAATACACTATCTTAATTAATTGAGCTTAAATAAAATAAATAAAAAATAAAAATTTCATTAGGTATAATGATATCATTTAAAACTTTCAATAAAAATCTTTACTATCCTATCTATTAATTACAATATACATAAAGAAAAATAATTACTCTCAAATATTTCTTTTTTAGAGGAAAAGAGAGCAAGTGTGAGCACGGAGCAGAGAGAGAATCTTAACCAGACTGCATCCCCAGCACAGAGCCCAACACAGGGCTCAATCTCACAACCCTGAGATCATGACTTGATTAGATTAGATTAATTCCTAAATTTAAATACTTTCTTTGAAATACAGATGCAGCACAAATTGTGCTCTCACTTGTACCACCCAAAAAAGCTGTAATTAGGTTTTCATATAGTAACTAAATGTGAAATTATATAATCTCAAAATCACGCTTTTCTAAGGAGAGAGAATTGAAGAGCCACAACTCTCACATGATAGAATACCTCAGATTGCTGTAGAGACCCAGATAGGTACATGGATTATTTTATTTAAGAAGGCTTTGCCCTAACAGACACCTGAAAAGATGCTCATCATCACTGATCACCAGGAAAATGCAAATCGAAACTACAATGATACCATCTCACACCTATCAGAATGTCTAAAATTAACAATATAGGAAACAATAGGTGTTGACGAGGATGTGGGATTACACTGCTGGTGGGCATGCAAACGGGTGCAGCCACTATGGAAAACAGTATGGAGTATCCTCAAAAAGTTAAAAACAGAACTACCTTAGGATCCAGCAATTGCACTACTGGGTATTTACCCAAAGAATACAAAAATACTAATGCAAAAGGATACACGTACCCTTATGTTTATAGCAGCATTGTTTACAACAGCCAAGATACGGAAGCAGCCCAAGTGTCCTATCAAACTAGTAAATAAAGAAGATGTGATACACACACACACACACACACACACTCTCACACACACAGGGAATATTACTCAGCCATAAAAGGAATGAAATCTTGCCATTTGCAACAACACGGACGGAGCTAGAGAGTATAATGCTAAGTCAGTTAGATATCATATAATTTCACTCATACATGGAATTTAACAAACAAAACAAGCAAAGGGAAGAAATAAGAGAGAGACAAACTCTTAATTATAGAAAACAGACTGATGGTTACCAGAGGGAGGTAGGTGGGGGAATGAGTTAAATAGGTGATGCGGATTAAGGAGTGCACTTGTGATGAGCACCCGGTGATGTATGGAAGTGCTGAATTACTACATTATACAGCTGAAACTGATAGAACACTGTATGTTACCTGCAATTAAAATTAAATAAGGCTTGTCCTTTGGAAAATCCCTGTCCCTTTCTTCTCCCACTCATAGAAACATAGATTATTAAACCTGCAAGATACTTCAGAGGTTACTGAATCCAACACCCTTAATAATAAGTAATAAATGAAACAACTAGGACTGCCTTCCCCCAACCTTGGTAAATTATAACTAGGTGAATTCGTTGTTTTCTTTTTAATATATAGTATAAGTTTAAGAGTAGGGGTTATGGAATAAGGTCTCTCTGAAACTATTTACTTATTCAAAACATAAAGATAATAATACTACCTACTTTGTAGTGTTGCTGCTATGTGGACTGCATAAAATATATAATTGCTTAACACAGTGCCTTGCACGAAAGTTGATATTCAACAATGCTGGGTGGTGGTGGTTGTTTTCACTTCTGCTCCACTGATGTTTCCAGTTACCCAATCTTGAATCAGCAGGGTATAATGACAGATAACTGCTTTCTATACCAGGGCATATAACTGGCTATGAAGCACAAAAGTTACAGATATGGCTGATTCTGTCACAAATCTGACTTGCAAGACTTATGTAGACATTTTTTCTCTTCATAACAGTGAACAGGGAGCAAGACAGAAAATTTAAAGTAAAAGAAAAAAGAAATAGGCGCAAAGTTGCTACAAACAAGAAGAAATTCAACACGTAACAAGTAAGTTCACAAAGCAAATATCCAGAAATAAATTCCAAGCTCAAACCTTCCCCTGAGTAACTAAGCGAGTCCTTTCCAAATGCTAGAATATCAGAAATCTAATGCACATGTTTTAGACAAACCCATGGAAAAGAATAGAGAATAGTTAGAAAACATCCTTCCTCAACATTTATTAATATTCCTAAGGTAGGATTCTATAGATTCAAGCTGTAGTCTATGTCGTATTGAATGTATAAAGATGTCTCAGCAAATCTGAAGATTCAAAAATGGAGTGGAGGGAAAAAGCATCTTGAAAATTTTATCAGGATGAAAAGCACTTGGGTGGGTAAAAAATTACTACTCAAAGGAGTCAATGATGAAATAAGATGTACAACAAAAGCATGGCCCAAATGCCTACTAAGCTCTATAAGACATCTTATTATTTACCCAACTGCTTTCTTTCTTTTAGAATTCACATGAGATGTCAGTCAGATAAAGGTTTTTAAAGAAGTATAGAAGAAATTATAAAACAAATGTAGGGTGTTTTGTTTTTTTTAAGATTTTATTTATTTATTTGACAGACAGAGATCACAAGTAGGCAGAGAGGCAGGCAGAGAGAGAGAGGAGGAAGCAGGCTCCCTGCTGAGCAGAGAGCCTGATGAGGAACTCGATCCCAGGACCTTGAGATCATGACCTGAGCCGAAGGCAGAGGCTTTAACTCACCGAGCCACCCAGGCGCCCCACAAATGTAGGGTGTTATAAGGGAAAAAAAGGACCATATCAGTTGTAGAGACTTTCTGCCCATTAAGATGACCATGACTAGATCACTGGTTATTAAAAACTGATACTCTGGTGTCAGATTATATGCATATTCTTTTTTCTAAGATTTATTTATTTACCTTAGAGAGAGAGAGAGAGAGAGGGAGCACGAGTCGGGGGAAGGGCAGAGGGAGCGAACCCTCAGGCAGACTCCCCACTAAACATGCACCTAAGGCAGCCTCAATCCCATGACCCATGAGACCCTGAGCTGAAACGAAGAGTTACACGCATAACTAGTTGAGCTACCAGGGTGTCTCTTATGTGCATATCCTTACAGTCATATACAACATTTAAGATTCAATTTTTTCCCCTAACCTTTAATATCTATTTGTGCCTTTACTTACCTCTCGTGTTAATTTTGGTATGAACCTCGAGCTGGGGATCACTTGAAACCATGCAAGGCCACCAAGGATAGGTTCCCACCTTAGACCAAACAAGATCGCCAACCTGGAACTTAACACCAGCCGATGCTTCTGTTGTTGGAACAGAAGATAATATTGGCTGAACCTATAGGAAAAGGTCATAAAACTTCATCAGCAGAGAAAATTTTAAAAAAAGAAAGAAACTATGAACAAAGTACATTAAACATGCTCACCATGTAAAATTTATCTTCAATTATACTTTCCCTAATACTTAACCATAACTAGCAAAAAGGAAGAGAAAGAAAATAATAAGCCCCACTCCAAATACTGAAAATAGGACTGATATTTCTGATGTCTTATTACTGATAAGGCATCTTGAGAATTCACATAATCCATTAAAAAATAGTCATAAATATATTTTTGTAATTTTGTATGGTGACAGATAGTAACTACACTTATTTCAGCGGTCATTTTGCAATGCATATACATATCAAATCAATATGTTGTACACCCGAAACTAATATAATGATATATGTCGATTATATTTCAATAAGAAAAAGTGGTCATAGTTTTAAAAAGAACAATAATTCACTGAAAGTATCTACCTCTTAAACCAGCTCCAAGATTTATTTCAGTATAGTTTCTGAAATCCAGAAGTATGGAACTGTAATAATACGTATGGAATGTGTTATAACATAATCCCCCTGCTTTACCTCCTTACCCCACCCCTGGTTAGACAGTATTCAATACGGCAACTCACCAGGGGGTCCTCTTTTAGTACTGGCTCTTCTCTCGGTTTTTTCGGACACAGTGTCAACCCGCTCATTTGGTCTCTAGGTGAAAAGGTATAGATAAAAAGAAGAAAATGGCAGCCAACCAAAGAACAGTGACATACACAAAAAGAATCAAAACTAAATAGGAAAGAGAATAAAGGACATTTATTAATTGAATAACATAGGTAATAAGAACACAACTGCTGCAGTACATGATGCTATGTCTTAAATTCATGTTCCATTCCACACCATAGCTATATGTCTCATTTCTTATTACTTTTTAAAACTTACGTGTTGATTGTTGTTGCTGTTGTTTTTTAACCTAACAGGGTGCAGAAAAATGAGCACTCTCAGACTGCTAGTAAGATGTAACTTGGAATTTTTCAGGAGAGCAACATGGCATGTATGAAAAACCTTAAATTTACAACTCTGATCCAGCAAATCCACTTCTAAATGTATATGTATACTGAAAAGCATTGAGAGGTATAAATACACAAAAAGATACGCACACTAGTCCTATTTATAAGAGCAAATACTAGAAAACAATCTAGATGTCCAGTAATTTAAATTAGCCTAATAAGTTATAGTATAACAAGATAGTGAAATAACATACATTTTAAAATGACATGGGAGGGGTGCCTCGCTGGCTTAGCTGGTAGAGCCTGCAGCTCTTGATCTCAGGTTTGTGAGTTCAAGGGCCATATTGGGTGCAGAGATAACTTAAAAATAAAATCTTTTGAAAAAAATAAATAAAATGACATAGGAAAATAACAATATAATGTTATTTGAAAAGAAAAAACTGCAAAGCAGTTTGTATAATATGATTCCAATCTTGGAAAAATAATTTTTTTAAATTTATTTTTTAAATTTTATTTATTTATTTGACAGAGAGAGGAGAAAGAGGCTCCCCACTTAGCAGGGAGCCCAATGTGGGGCTCAGTCCCAGGACCTTGGGATCATGACCTGAGCTGAAGGCAGACGCTTAACCCACTGAGCCATCCAAGCACCCCAAAATAATTTTTTTTTTAATGTGCACAGAAAGAAAAATTAGAATACTACCAGGTAATGGAAAAGTGATTGTTTTGGTGTGCCTTTCTGTATTTGTCAAATTGTCTATGATAAACATTACTTTTCCAATCATAAAACCCACACATATATTACTTAAAAATTAATTTCTACAACCCTTTGGGAAGGGTACTTAGAAGTATCTATCAAAATTGAAAATATATCATTCTTCAACTGGGCAATTATATTTTAAGAACCTACAGAAAACAAAAGAACATCTAAGCAGAAGATAGTTAAGTATAGCATTATTTCATGCCAATAATCTACATGTCTATCAACATCTTCCAACTTTTTATTTTAAAATAGCCCATACATGCCTTAAGAGGTATTTGGTACATTTTATACCAGAATGATAAAAGTAGTTATCTTTGGGGAATGAGGTTAGGGAAATGGTGAAGGAAGATCTATATTTTTGTGTTAGATGTATTTCCTGTAAAAAGCGGATCACTTTTGTAATTTAAAAGATTTTTTTAAGACTTCTCACTTGTCAAAGAACAGAACTTAATTTAGATGGCATAAAGAGAGATATACCCATCAAATTAAGTCTTAATTCCAATTTTAAAATATGGGTAATTCTAGAAGCTACTTAAAATTTTCAATTAATTGAAGACACTGTTACAAAAACAGCAAAAACAAAGTTTTATTAAATAAAAAATTGTAGAAAGGTTTGTAACTATTAGGAAATGAGAAGCCAGACTAACATCCTAAACACCAATTATCAATCACTTACTCAGCAGTGCCTATGACTTTCCAGGCACTGTTCTAGTAGGTGGGTATGCAATGATGAAACAAATAGATTTGATCACTCACCTCAGAAAGCTTACAGTTGGGTAGGACAGACAGACAGTAAACAATTAAAAACATACACTTATACAATGTAAATATATGAAGAGAAATAATGTGGGAATGTGTATCTTTATTACTTCTTCCTTTTTTTTTTTTTTTGGAGATTTTATTTATTTATTTAAAGAGAGAGACACAGAAGAAAGGGAACACAAGCAGGGGGAGTGGGAGAGGGAGAAGCAGGCTTCCCACCAAGCAGGGAGTCCGATGTGGGGCTCAATCTCAGGACCCTGGGATCCGACCCAAGCCAAAAGCAGACGCTTAACCACTCACCACCCAAGCGCCCCAGAGTGTGTATCTTTAAATATGAAGGTCAGGAAAGGCCTCTTTGAGAAAGTCCATTATAATCTGAGAGTCAGAGGAAGAGTAGTTAGTCTACTAAAAAGTGGGCAGAACATTCCAGAAAGAAGGCATGGTATGTGTGAAGTTTCTGGGGCTTAAAAAGTAGAAACTGCAGGAAGGCTTTTACAACTGACTTAATTACCCAAAGAGAGAGGTTATAGGATGAGAGAGGGGAGGCAGGCTATATTACAAGTATAGTCAAGTGTTTTATATTAAGGGCAATAAAAAGCCACCAAAGAGGATTAGGTAGAGAAGTAACATACACCAATTCATGTTTTTTAAAAATCATGTTAGCTATTACATGGAGAGTATTTTGGAAAAAAAAAATAGTGACAAGTTGCTGGTGGGCTCAAAATTCACTGTCAGATGTGTCTGTGGTGGTATTATGACTATGTAATCTAATAGGACACACTCGTTGAGCAAGGAAAGAAAAATCTATGTTCAAATGAAAACTGTTTTCCAAAATGCTGGTATAAGAATAAAGCAGTTTGGAAATACTGTCCCCATTTGCACAGGCCCTTTGGGTAGCTTCACTTTAACAGAAGTAGTTTAAGCCTTCACCTCCACTTCTCATTCTCAAGCTACCACAAGAAGACAAGGCCACTTGAGGAAGTACATACGCCGCTAAGAAAGCAAGTCATCCTCCTCTGCACATTCAATCTTCATGATGTCTGGGTGTAAGGGATCTCCGTAACTCCTTTTGAGGTCTGATAGATAAGGAGTGACTCATCTTTGCCAAACAACAGAAACCTACTATTATTTTAAGAACTGGTCTGAAGTCCATCAACATTTTTCCCTTTCTGGATTAAAGACGGGATTTCCTTCAAAACTTTTATATTCAAATGTCTTATTTGGGGGGGGGTATAAATTGTTTCCTTTTCCTCCTGGTTTGCATTTGCTACATGCAGTAATGTAATACTGCATTCCATGTGCACCCTTCCCTGGAGAAAAACTTAGTGGTTTTCTACCTTCCAGAAGATAGTAATAAATCTTGAAATAGACCTATGATTTTATTAATAATGTTGTTTTTTAGAATATAATATTCCTCAAGATTAAAAAAATGATGTAAATTGGGCATGTGGGTGGCTCAGTGGGTTAGGCCTCTGCCTTTGGCTCAGGTCATGATCTCAGGGTCCTGGGATCGAGCCCTGTATCGGGCTCTCTGCTCGGCAGAGAGCCTGATTCTCCCTCTCTCTCTGCCTGTCTCTCTGCCTACTTGTGATCTCTCTCTGTCAAATAAATAAATAAAATCTAAAAAAAAAAAAAAAAAGTAAAAAAAAAATGTCTTATCTTTCTTTAATGTATTATTATTATTTTAATGGTTTGTTCCAGAATGCTAGCTTTTGCTTCAGGCTAGCTTAAAACACTGTTAAAATTGTTTACAGATTCATCTTAAAAGGAAAACAATGGCAAGGGAGATAAATAAGCCTAAGATTTATTCTAAGCTTTCAAGACTATATAAATAAAAGAAAGAAAAACAAGTCAAATAAGGATGATGCAGTGATAGAAAGGAAATATACCTTGTAAAATGTGCTAATGCATGCACAAAACAGAAATATCTAGGAGGCATTTAGTCTATAGCCATAACACCCTGAATGTGCCTGATTTCATCTGATCTCAGAAGCTAAGCAGGGTTGAGGCTGGGGTGGGAAAAATATCCAGTGGACACTGACTTGAGCTCAAAAGAAAGCAGAAAAGTAAGGAGATAAACCAACAGATAACATAGTATCATAAACACCAATTAAGGGGTGAATTTTTTAAGACAACATGGTCAATGGAAGTCAAATACTGAGGAGTCAAGAAAAATGAGTCAGAAAATGCCAACAGATAAAATACTTCTGGGTATAATATCCATTTTCCTTTAGTTGCTGGAAGGATAGATAAGCTTAAAAGAGATTAAAATCAAGTAAGGACAAAAGATACCTTTTCTGGTACTAATAGTGTTGCTTTAGCAAGAGAATGTCAGAGAAAAAGAAATAAATCAAATATTTAAAACTGAGTTAGCTCTCCTCAGTTTTAAATATTTGATTTTATGGGTATATACCTCTTGTTTTACATTTTTAGCTGATTCCATACAGAAAGACCTATATTCCAGGAAAGAATAACAAGAAGTTTCTTAAACAGGAAAAAATACTTTAAGAGAGCAACTAAAATAAAATAACATTATCCAAAATATTCCTTTTAAAAAATTTGCCCTAGTGCTTTTATTAAAACGCAAGAGATCTGGGGCGCCTGGGTGCCTCAGTGGATTATGCCTCTGCCTTTGGCTCAGGTCATGATCCCAGGGTCCTGGAATCGAGCCCCGCATCACACTCCCTGCTCAGCAAGGAGCCTGCTTCCTCACCTCTCTCTGCCTATCTCTCTGCCTGCTTGTGATCTCTCTCTCTGTCAAATAAATAAAATTTTTTTTTAAATAAAATCTTTTTAAAAAAAAGAGAGATTTATTAGGATGAATAACATGCATCAAGCCTGGCAGAATTCCAAATCCCTAAGAATTTTCAAAACATTAAGCAAAATTGTACATTTAAAAAAATCTTAAATCAACATTTAAGGTGGAAAAAAAATTCAAAGGCAATAAATTATTCATGCATTTTTCTTTTACTTTCTGAATAACTTTAAGTGCATAACCCTTTTAATTAACATATAATGTATTATTTGTTTCAGGGGTACAGGTCTATGAATCATTAGTCTTACACAATTCACAGCACTCTCCATAGCTTAAGTGCATAATCTCAAACACTAAAACGTTTATCTGTACAAAAAGAACATTTTGCATGTGAAAAGTTTCTAAGAATTTTAAGACCTAATACTCTGAAACAAACATAAGGTCTAAGTTAGTGCTGATGGAACAGAAGCCACTATTTGGCTTTTTTATAAGTGAAAATGGCAAGCTAAGAGTTAATGAGACTAGTCTTAGTGGATAAGCCCACTGAGGTGCTGGTGGAAGACCAATGTCTGAATAGGGCCTACACTCACATGCCAGAGGCATGACACCTGCCAAGGAGGAAGACATGCAGAAACACTTCCACATGTTTCTAATTTGATAGGAGGAAAAACAGCTAAACGAGCATTACAAAATATACAATTTCAGTAGTGATCTCAGATCTTTTGCTGCCGAGATGTCTGGATACATTTTATTGTTGAGAGATATACTTAGGTTGTTCCAAATAATAGTCACTCTCTAGAAGGCCAAACAGCTCAGAATTGGAAATACTTGTAAGATCAAACACCAAGAAAAAGGAAAGAAAGAAGTAGTGAGAAATCACGAACTATTACCTTAAACGAGATTGTTTGTTCAAAAAAGAACCTATGAGTGGGCTTTGAAGGAACAAAATTATATATAAACGCAAATCCAGCTTAAGGACAAACATTTCAAACTTTTTCTCCAAGCACTCAGTTCTCATTATGCTTCTTTAAGCATCTGGGGAGGGGAGCTGTCCAGTGGCATCAGCAGACTCTCACTTGAGCTCCTCTTTCATTTCTAAGCCTTTTGTAATGCTTAACACCAAGTAAGGGCTTGGACCCTTAGTAACAACCAGGAGGCACAAGGGTATCAAAAATTGAACACTTACAAGAAACTGTCCTAAGGGAAACAAAATAAATGTTTTTCAAGTTGAAGAAACCTAATTAAAACAATACTAAAAAACATAAGGTTACAAAACCAATTAGTTTGTGAACATCAGTGGTCCTCTGTACAGTGCTGAAGCATGGTACTACCAACAAGCAAGAGCCTTGGGGGCCCTAGCTTTAAAGTTCCAGTATCAGAATGGAGTACAACTGTTATGGCATTCATTGCTTAAATTTGTAACTATTCCCCATGTGTGACAGATTTTAATTAATCAAAATTCAATTAACAAGAACTCTTTTTTTCTCTTTGGAAAAAAAGGAGGGAAGGGAGAGAGTAACAAAGAGAAAAAGGGAAAGAAGGATGGGAGAGGGAGAAAGGGGGTAAGGTGAAAAAGTGACGGGGGAGGGAGAGAAACAAAGGGGAGACAGACAAACAAAACAATACAAAAAACCCTGGATTTTTCCCCAAAACTCAACTTTGTTCATACATTGGTACATATATATGTATTATCTTGTTCCTCTTACTAGAATATAAGCAAACTGAAAGTAGACATCTTCAATTTCATTTATTGCTATTCTTAGGAAAGAGTCTAGCACAGAGTAGGTACTTAATCAATAATTGATAAATGAATAAATAAATGAATAAATAAAACTATAGAAAAATGAGAAAAACATTTTGAAATATGTTTCAAATATTACACTGAGACTTGGGAGAGTCTAGAATCAGTGTAGCCTTTTACTCCAGAAAAGGATTACATTTGAGCTGTATGAAGTACCTGAACCCAGCTACCAAGGAAAAGGTGAGTTGGTATGAAGTAAACACTTCTTTAAACAGAAGATAACAAATTAACTTATTCGGGCATACCAGATATAAAAGCAGACTAATGTTGCCAAAATAGATACTTATTTTTTCCCCATCAATGTCTGGGAAATGTCTTCAATTCACACCATGTATTAGAATACTAACTAAAAACTTCACTCAAGCTAGACCTGCTTTGTTACATACCTATTAATAAGGAAATTCATACTAAACCACAGATATACTAAAAAGAATTTGGCAGCATACATCAGACCTATGAAGGATGACTCATAAAAATTCCACCTGAAGTTTTAATATATAGGAATACTAACTGGTTTTAATAAAAGGAGTCCCTCTATTACTTCAGTTTATTTATTTATTTTTTTAAAGATTTTAATTTATTTGACAGACAGCAATCACAAGTAGGCAGAGAGGCAGGCAAAGAGAGAGAGGAGGGAGCAGGCTCCTGCTGAGCAGAGAGCCTGATGCGGGGCTCAATCCCAGGATCCTGGGATCATGACCTGAGCTGAAGGCAGAGGCTTTAACCCACCCAGGTGCCCCACTTCAGTTTATTTTGTAGCAAACACATTAGTAATGAGTATTAAGTCATTAACACTGGGAAAAGTTGGCCTAAATAAAAGAAAAAACAATATAATTAACCATCTTCTCTTTGCCTTTCCTCTTCATCTTTAGAAACCAGGAGTTCATTATAAACAAATAAAAATAAGTGAAGCTATTAGACAAAGAAACATAAGCAGCCTTAGTATCCCATGTTTTAAAAATATTTCTTCACTCTAATGATGTACATTCATTTAGTCAAAAAATTTTACTCAGCACCCATTAGAATATCTCAAGCTCCTTGCTTGGGATTAGGAGAAAGAAGTTATCAGAAATATTTAAATTTGAAGGGATAAAAATGGGAAAATATCTCTTGGACTTCCAGTAAATCTGAATTATTACAAAATTTTTCAAAAATATGTTTCAACTTACATTTTGTTCCTCTGGTTCTAATTTGGGGATTTTGTGTGACTTGCGCTCTTCAGATCTGGATGAGTCATGCTTGTTGCTTTTTTTCCTCTTTTCTTTTCTGCTTTCATGCTTTGATTTTGTGTGCTCACTTGCCTGTACTTCATTTAAAAGGTCTCCACAAAGGGAAGACTCAAACAATTCCCTGCCATTCTGGATAGTTTTGGTTATTTTTAGTTTAATTTCAGGTGAGCCAGTCTTCTTTGGAATCACAGTTTGTGGTACCGAAGGAGGAGGTGGTGGCTGTGGAGGAGAAGGTTTTTCCAGAATTTCATGTGGTCTTGTGTTTGGAATTTCTGAATGGTAATAGTCAGTGGGGCTAAAGTTTCTAACTGCACCAAAGCCATTGGCCGACCCATTGGGATACTGATTATATGACTGGTATTTGGTTTGAGTTTCATACATGCTGATTGATGGGGGGTAGCCATTTGTGAGTGGAGGAAGATCTTCTGTTGTAGGTGGGTACTGAAAGCCTTGCTGCAAGGTAGCTTCATATGGTGTCTGGCCACCATCTTCAACAATGTCACTGTTGTTATCAAAGGCATCCTCCTGACGGATGTTGGCGGAGTCAATGAGTTGAGGTGGTTGCTGAATTGTGTTTCCCATGATCCCTTGCATGAAAGAGAAAGAGAAATCCATTGTTCTGCTCCAGCATCCTTAACTTTCCCTTTCTCTCATCGGGCCTAAAGTTTTAAAAGAGGAGATTAAAAAGTGTTAATATTCTCACAGGCTAGAGGCTTTTCAATTGAAAAAGAATTCACTAAAATATCCTGTACCTAGTTTTCATATCCAGATATACACAAACACTAAATATTTTTAAAACAGGTAGCCAATATAATTCTGATACAAGTCAAATGCTTTTTACCTTAAATACTTATCTATTTGAAACCCTCAATTACTTCCAAAATTTTAGTAACAAAATATTATCCTCTTAGCAAACGTTCAAAATAGTTTTGCATTCCTTCTGTTTCCAAAGTTAGAAATGACAAGTCTCAGGGTAAAACTGGTATTTGCAAAGTAAGCAGTGTTCTGACACATATAAATTAGGTTCCATACAAGCTTCCTTTAAATCACTCATGTTTTGTCCAGTGGTTCTCTCTGTTGTTACAAAAAATAACAAAATCTTATTGCAAATATTTTAAATACAAACGTAAAAAGGCCTATTCCTCCCTCTTGATCATTCCCATTCTTCTGTCATGGATAACCACTATAAATACTTTGATGAGTATTCTTACAAATCTTTATATAGTTACACATAAAATTTTAAAAATAAGGTTGATTCTGTGATTTTCTTATTCAACAATGTATCTTAGATATATTTCTACATCAGCATGTATAATTTTCATATATACTTTATTAAATAATAACACAGTAAACAACTGTGCTATCTATACCACGATGTACTTAACCATTTGTGTACTGACAATCATTTAGCTGCTCACAATTGTTTGAAATTATGAACTGGTCTACAGGAAACTTTCTTGAAACTACATCTTCGGGCAGGTATGTATTCTTATTAGACAAATTTGAAATTTTAATAGATACAGCACAGCCTATAGAATGGTTCTGCAGTATCAGTATACCATCATACCAGTAGTGAGGGTGCCTGATTCGCTATACTCTTGACAGTATTAGTTGTTTTTAACCAGTGGCATAAATATGATCATCTGGGGTAGTGTTACAAAATGTACATGTCAATCAACATCTATCTACTGATGAATCTGATTAGATACATCTGGGGTAAGGCCTAGAGTATGAATATTTTAAGGTCACATTCCAGCTGATTCTGATGCAACCTCTTAGTTGGGTCACTGCATTACAATCTTTGCATTGTAGTTATTGCATTATACTCTTATAATTATTGCACCTCCTCTAGAAGATGCCTAAAGATGTTAATGTTATGTAACAATGTTGTAATACAGATAAGCATCTATTAGGAAATGTTTTAAAACCACTCTGTGTTTTCATAAAGTGACAAGTCCACATCTTGAGACAGGATTAATGGACAGTTCAGGTATTATTTTGATTATCTCATGAACATTTCTTCTAGAAAGCCCTGAAGGCCGAGAGGATTCTCTACCGTACTGAGTCTGATGAACTGACTTTAGCTGCATGGAACACTGTGAAGAAGGACAGTGAGGTTACAGTCCAGTTTGATTCTATGACCAATTAATAATGTCTACTATCTTGATTGTTGTAGGATTTACCAGAGTGATAAAGCACGTAACCCAAAACAGCAAAGAAAAGCTGACAATACACTTTTCAAGGTGGATCCAATTAAACAGCTGCTGTTTACACTGCTAAAATGGAAAGAATTTTAGCTCTAAAATTGCAAACAAATGAATACAAGAGCATACAGGAAATCAAACTGCCCTTATCGCTCTACAGTGGAATGGGGTGCAGGGGGGTATTAGACAGCACTCTCATTTTTTAGCATCTACTCTGGGCCAAGAACTTTGTACATTTTCTAATTTAATCCTCATAACAAATCTGTAGGATAGGTATGATGACTCTTGGTTCACAGGGAAAAGAAACTGAGCTTCAGATAGGTTAGGTGCCTTGCTTTAAACTATAAAGCAAAAAAGACAGAATTACTATTTGTATCTAAGTGTGTCTGATACTACACCCCATGATTTTTACCATGCTACCACTTCTACTTCACTCAGCCATAACTTCTGAGAGGATCTGATTCTTCTGTTCATGTTCTTTATTCCCAATCACTGCCAAAATGAAAACTAACTATTCTATAGTAACTGCCACGAACTCTTTTTTTTTTTTTCTCCTGCCACTAACTCTTAAATGGAGCTTAGTATGTACCAGGAACCAATCTCAGTGCTTTACATACAGTACATTCAAACCTCCCAACAATCTTCAGGTAGATGTTAACCTTAGTTCCCATTACAGACTGGGAAATAGAGGCACACTGAGGTTAAATGACTTGTTCAAGTGCACAAGGCTAGTCTTTAATTGACAGGGCTGGGATTACATCTAGGCAGTTTGGTTTCAGAATCAGTAATGCTAACCAGTGGTAACATACTGGTAACACTGATAAATGTTAGGAATCATTTCTTTATGCATAGCTGAAGAATTGAAACATTACCCTAATCTGACCCTTGGCAAAAATGTATAGTTCACAGACAAAGAATGGTATGTTCTAAAATTCTATAAACACATGGGGCAACTGTACAGGTGGAATTCAGAAGTTCTTTGAACTTCCAACTTGAAGGCAAATTAAATACTGACATTTGACAAGATGCAACCTGTGTTTTTGGTTCTCATAACTGTCATATACAAGATCAGCTTCCAGATTAGTCTCCCAAATTATAATCTACAGAGGTTTTCAGGCATATGTATTCAGAGAACTAAGGTTTCTAATGTTTCTGATTTAGTTCCAAACACAAACTTTTAAGAAGTTTGGTATTTTCCCCCTTTTCTTCTCTAGCCATAGAACCAAATATTTCATTTTAGTTTGAACTAAGAAAGGAAATAACATTACCATCTTAAAATTATATAGGAGTTTACCATTACACAGTATTTTCACATGCATTCTTATTTGATCCTCAAAACAATCCTGTAAGGCTGACAGGACAGGTGTTAGCTTCATTTTTTAGATGACTACATTTGATATTTGAGATGCTAAGTTTTCCAAGACCACAAAGCTCATTAGTGATTAAACCCGAAAAAGAATCTCTTGCCCTCTTTACCACAATATCTAACTGCCAGAGAATATCCAGCTACCCAAAGACAACCATACTGTAGGAGTCAGATGTTCAAAACTGAATGAACTGTGCTTTCCCTAATTCATTTTTCCTTTCAGACTACCCCAGATTTGTCATTGCTTCCACTATTTCTCTAGCTTCCCAGGCTAGAAGCCTTAGTCGTGTGGGTGGCTGATTCTCCCCTCTCAGTGAAGCCACAAAATGAGGCGCTGAACAAATCTTGTAGTTTCTTCCACTGAAATCTCATCCATGTCAGGCCAAGCCCTCAGCACCTTAATCCTGAACTATGACAACTGATTTTCTAATATTTCTCATCTTTAATTCCTCCCTGCACAACAGCTAGAAGATGTGTCCTTAAACCAAACTTTGATTAAGTCTACTCCCTTTCTAAGAAACTCTAAAGCCCCATACTATACCAAGTCCCTTCCATACCTCTCAAGGTCTTCCATAATCTGACTTTCCTACCAACTCAAACTGTATAGGCATGAATAAACTTTTCTGAGCATTCTCAGGCCCAAATAACTACAAAATGTGGCCTTCCTCACATATTACACTTTGTTTAATCCTACGAAGCAAAATATTATTCCCATTTTATAGATGTGAAGAAAGAGCACTCAAAAAGACCAAGTGATTTGCCCTTTTAACATATCCAACAGAAGCTGAAAAAAATGGTGAAACTCAGGGTGCCTGGGTGGCTCAGTGGGTTAAGCCGCTGCCTTCGGCTCAGGTCATGATCTCAGGGTCCTGGGATCGAGTCCCGCATCGGGCTCTCTGCTCAGCAGGGAGCCTGCTTCCCTCTCTCTCTCTCTGCCTGCCTCTCTGTCTACTTGTGATCTCTCTCTGTCAAATCAATAAATAAAATCTTTAAAAAAAATAAATAAAAATAAAAATAAATGGTGAAACTCAGATCTTCTAATTCAATACTGTACTCTCTAGGGCAGCTGCCACCTCATCTACAAATATATTCATACTTTGCACTTCTTTTCAATTATGTTCCATAGCCGTCATCCAAATGTATGTCTGACAGTTTCCCTTGTATCTCACAAGTATCGTAAAATACCCAATAACCAACTTAGTTTTTATTCTACTTCCATGTGTCTTCCTATGAGAAAAAAAGAAACCCCTGTATCAGTTGCCCAAGCCAGATACCTGGGACTGAGATACATCCCATACCCTCACTTCTACTCTTCCCCAATGTATCAGTAAACTCCTGTAGTTTTATCTTCAAAGTATACATCTCATAACTGCCTATTTCATTCCATATATTTTCTTCTTCACACTAGTCCAATCTCCTCACTTAGTCTATTCCATAGCTACTTTTTCAGTCTTCATGCTTCTTCTCCTGCCTATGATCTATTTTCCCATATAACAGCCAGTCTCCTTTCAAATACGAACCCAATCATTTGACTACCTCTCAAAATACAGCAAGAAAAAGGAACTACTGCTATACTCAACAACATGGATGACTCTCACAATGTCATTTTGAGTGAAAGAAGCCAGACACAGTGATTCCATTTATATAGTATACAATGTGATTTTATTTATATAAGGTTCAAAACAGGATAAAGTTAAGACTAACTCTATGGAGGGCACCTGGGTGGCTCAGTCAGCTAAGCATCTGACTTCGGCTCAGGTCATGATCTCGGGGTCCTGGGATCAAGCCATGCATCAGGCTCTCTGTTAAGTGGGGAGTTTGCCTGAGGATTTGCTCTCTTCTTCTGCCCCTCGCCCAATTCGTGCAAGTTCTCTCTTTCTCTCTGTCTCTCTCATAAATAAATAAACAAACAAACTAACAAACTAACTAACTAACTCTATGGAGATATCCGTCAAAATAGTACTTGCTTACTGGGAGGTAGAGAGAGTGGGCTATAAACACTGGATAAGACTAAAAGGGAGGTTTCTAAGCTGCTTGTTATATTTAACATATTGATCTAGATAGTAGCTACTTAGTCTTAAGCAAAAAC